ATTCATATTCCAGCTATTTCCAGTTGCTGGTGAAATCCCCAAGATTTTGACCCATTTTGGGTATCCCAAACCATCCGCGAATCGACACAGGCGGTGCGCTGCCTCTGGAAGTCGCACCTCCGAATCCTCGCTCTGTGTGGTGGACCTCCCAAACATGGGCGGCTGCGCGTTGGTGGGGGACATCACATCTCAAAAACCAAATATAAAAAGTAGATAACGAAATAACATGAAATAACATCAAACAAATACAGATAACTCAAATACCCATGTGTTCGCATGACATACAGGATCAGTGAAATGCTTTCAGGAGAGCAGGACTGTAGTTGGAAACTTACTCCGAGCAATTGCTCCGTCTGGCTTTGCACAAACAATCTAGAATCTAGCACTCCAAAAGGCAAGGGTTTATCACGACTTTCCCCACTAGAAGTGCCATAAATTGAGATTTCCAATCCCATTTCTGGACAAACCCATCTGGTTGAACAACAAAAATCGATACCTCAAACAGATCACCCAAATGGCTCACCATGACCCAAGAAGTGCTCACCTGGATAGCGCAGAAGATGAGGCACTTCTCCGAGGCCTGTTTGATGAGGAAGCCGATGAGAAGCCATTGGATTAGTCGGTTTTTTTGGTGCAAACCCTGGCAAGCGGCCAACCGACCCACTTGGCAGCAGGCCTTCCCGAGCTTGAGGATGCCCTTCCCTGCCGCACTCTAGTTGCAGTCTTCACGAATTTCAAATCAAAAAACATGTCAGAAAAGCAGCAAATGTTTCTGACGGCCTGCACAACACAGAAACTTTGCTGCATCAAAACGTAGCGAACACCGCAGAAGCCCAGCGCCTCATCCACCAGCGCGGCGCCGCGGGATGATCGTGCGCGACGCCTGGAGAAAATCAGCTTCCAATGTGTCTGCTCAACTGCATGTCCAATGAATATCAATGACTTCTGACAGTTCCCACCGGTAGTATGGTATAGTATGGTAGTATAACCCCGCAATCATCCACCAACTGGGGTTTTATTTTGAGGTATGTACACATGCACTGTGCTCAAAACTGTAAGCTTCCTAGGGATACCGTTCTTTTGTTTTCACAAATCTGCGGACATGGAAATCAGTCGCTAACATGGTAGCCCTGAAAAAGGACCAACACAGGACCAACATGTGGTGGGATTTGGGTGCAATCATGGGCCCCCATTTTGGGAACCCCTCAAAAATAGAAGTGAGATCTTGTCTACCCACTTTATGGGAGGTAACTAGCAGTTGAGGTTAAATTACAACCAGCATTTCCAAGTAGGTGCTCATCCATTTATGTTGGCTATGTAATTCCCAATGCTTCTTAGTCAAATCCCAATTTTTTGGGCTGCTGACTTCCACGTGTTTTTTGCTTAGATACCTTTGTTTACGGCTGTTTCTTCGTTTTTATTGGCTGTTGTTCATTGTTTTTCATGGTTAAATGTTGCCCATTTTATGCCATGGTTAAATGTTAAATGCACCTTTTTTATGGAAATACTGTAACCATGGTTAAATGTTAAATGCCCATCTTTGTTTCATGGTTAAATGTTGCCCATTTTTTCTGGTTGAATCTCAAATTTGGGTGAAAAGTCCTCGATGTCACCGCCTCTTGTCCTCCCGGGATTTCCGCTCTTCTCGTCGAAGCTTGGCCCTAGGCGATTGCACCAGTGACTTGCATATCGCAAATACAATATAGATATTATATATATATAACCATCAGTTCCAAAATGGAAGCTATCCTATCTACTAGTAGTGAAGATGCAGCTTTTCAGGCTGTGATAAAGTCTTAACCGATGGATTACTAGGGATTATTGGGGTTCTCAATCTGTGGACACACAAATTTCCACTGCAAGTCGAAGTGGACTTTGCACTCTCACACACTTTGGCTGTCATAGTCACAAGTGCCTACGAACTATCGCCATGTTTCGGATAAGGGGACCCATGAAGTCATCCTCGAAGTTGTTGCGCAGGTCTGGCTGCCATCTTTAGATATGAATCTGAAACAATTAAATAAACAATGCAGATCAATTTCAGATATCTCAGCTTCCTCCTGGCTGTGCAGCCGCAAAATCTGCTGCTGAACAGTGCCATCCCAGGTGGCCGGGCAAACGGCGAGCTTCCATGTCTTCTTCATAGGCCTTCACCATGACCTTTTCAAACCGCCATGACGTCGCTGCGAGCTGAGGAAGGAAGTTCAAAATGTCCGGAATGAGCTGAGGAATGATCGAACCAAGGAACGATTTATGTGCGGTTACAATAAAACCGATTAGAAAATTCCTTGAGTCGAGTTTAAATATGTATGTAATTATGTGTATAGATAATACATAATCCAAAAACCAGGTTTGTATTACAAATCCACAAGTAGCAGTGACAAATGTGCACGACACAATATCTGCTCCCGTCCCCGTTGCTGGTCATGCTGTCAGGTTCTGGGTGCCAACTCGTTCTTCTTTTTCGATCTGCGAGTTCCTTGTTGTGCAAAATGGGGGATGAAAAAGTTGGACAAAACCGTTCCAAGTGTGGCAAGTCAGCATTATGATATGATGCAATGATATACAATTAACTATATATTATATATATATATATATAATATATATAATATAAAATAATATAATATACCAGTATCGAGTGGTCACTAGACAAGTCTCCTGCCTGGCGACCACACTTTGATCCATGTTCTATGCTCCAGTTTCATCCATGGCCCCACGGGACCCGCCCCCAGTTCGCATCCAACGAGACACAGAATCAGGACATCCCGCCTCGCCGATGCCAAGGCTAAAAGATATGGGAGCTGGATTGCCGGGAGCTCCAAAGTTACATAGACATATCATGACAACACTTGAAAGCAGTTTCTTGGAGCCTATTGTCTTTTCTTGCACCATGGTTTTCGGAAGTTTTCGGCACAAATGTCTACAATATTCTACAATTTGTTATTGCTTCCTGGACCCTCTCATGCTCCAAATGCTAACGCCTTTTGTGGCTCCTGGACTCAAAAAACAACCGTCGAAAGGTCGCCGCTCCAGCGGGTTCATGGACATAATTGATCATAGAAATCCGCCCGCACCGAAGGTGCTGGGGCGTGATCTTCCGGATGGCACTCGTAAAAGGTTACAGGTTTACCTGGCGGGGGGGGGGCATTTTTCGGCCAAAACCTCCTGTTTTTGATAGGTCGTGACGCTCGCCTTCAAAAAACACTGTAAAAACAGTACGGAAGACACCTGTTCGTGAACGCGCCCGCCCAAAATCGGCAAGCGAAAAGTGAAAAAAAAAAAACGTGTTTTTCAACTTTTTGACCTCAATTTTTTGGTTTGCAACATCTTTTTTTGCGGTTCCGCAGGTGGCCGGGCCCGGAGGCGGATTTTTGAGTTTTTGGACCCGTTTTCGGACTGATTTTCGTCGTTTTGTGATAGCAGAAACACTGGTTTTTACAGTGTTTTTCTGTTTTCTGCATGCTTGACGGCTAGCTTCAAAACTTCCAAAAACCTCGTAAATTACGCTGTTTTATGTTACGGTGTGAATGAAAACATCGTAAATACCAGTGTTTTTTGACGTTGGTTAAAAAAACACTGTAAATTACAGTGTTTTTGGCCACCTGACCCTCAAAAACCATGGTATTTGCAGTGGTTTCTGCTTCTCACCGCGCAAAAACACTGTAAATAACAGCAATTTCGCCGTTTTTTCATGTTTTTCGTTATTTTTTGAACTGCGTTGGTCCGCTATACATGGCTATCAAATTCTTCGCGTTTTTTTTTCCGACAATCAGTACTTTCGGATGTTTTTGGTCTCAATGGCCGACATCATTGGCAGTTACGAGCGGCTGCCCAACGATGCGGTGCGGGCGGTTGCCGTCGCGAAGCGACGTGAATAATATGCAAAAATATGGAAATAATTTGAAATGATGGAACAAATATGAAGATAATTGAAGTAATGCAAATATGAAATAATATGAAATCCATCTAATTGAAAATGATAAATCTATGACACCCTGGACACATCCAACAGGAACCTGGCAGCTGCGCAAGCTGCGCAGTCCGACAGTAAGGACCCCACATACTCAGGTCTCTTGGGACTGGCTTTCCCCATGCCATGGCGCCTGGCAGATATGCAATAGATATGCAATGCTCCATGGGTGCTGAAGTGACTAAGAACTGAAACATACTGAAACCATCAGATGAACTTCGTGAACTTGCATCAAGATATATCAAGATGCTATATGTGTCTTTGCTTGTTCCTAAGAACTATAGCTTTTTCATGCTTTTTCGACAGATCCACTGCCTCAAACAATCAAGCAGCCACACTTCGAGGCACGATCGCGGGGGAGGCGGTGTTTTCAGATGTGGAAGGTGAATCATGTTGAATCATAGTGAACATGAGATACGAGTGTAGCTTGACAAATCTTGACAAACTTCGATGCACAAAATCAGTGTGCATTCGCAAGACCCACGCGCTCTCCAAACTCCCTTTGGGAGCGAAGCACTTGAAACTCTGAACCACGATGCCACGATGCTAGGGTATCTCATGGTGCACCTGCCTGATTCTCCAAACGCTTTGTCACTCCGCTCGGATCCCACTGAGAATAACCGACGTCACGGATCTCGTATTGAGGGCAAGTTGAGGTGATTCTAATCAGCTGATGGCTTTATCCAGGACCTTCCAGGCTTTGAGCAACCACATTAACCACCTACGATCATTTTTGACTGCCTTTATTGCAGTGCTCGCTGCGAAAAGCAGTGGGAATGCTTTTTGTATCTTTTTGTTAAGTGTTCTGCATCAACACATGTCCAATGTCAATGAATATATCAGGCTTGCATGCATCTCACCTCTATACCTGTTCATTTGGTTGAAAAGAGAATCTGTTTTCAAAGGATTTACCTAGGTTGCACACAGAAAACATCCGAAACTGAAGCCCCGCTACCAACAGCAGGGTACCTTCTAAGCATTTCTAACCCCTTTGACCCAGCTGACCTCCGTCAAACGCAGTGCACGCATGTTTCTTCAGTGAGGAGATTCTCAGACTGTCATCAGAGCCACTGAAACAGACTCATTCATTGAAGCGTTCACGTGGGTAATCGAAATCGTCATCGTCGGAGTTGCCCGATTTCTCCTCGCAATACCAAGGATGGAATGTGAAAAGCATGGAACGATGTTGTTCTTGAAATTCAACTTGGTTCCCCAGTGTCTCGAGCCCACTTTGGCAGAGACATACTCAATCCAACCCGCAAAGACATCTCACTTCTTGCCAGATGTTCGACAACTAAAACTCCGTGTGGGCACATCGGCACATCTCCCATTTTTAGCCCAGACGCGGCTCCAAAACTGCCACTTCACTTGGTGTTCCGAAGTCATTTTTGGGATTCCCCATGGTTCCCCTGTTGCAGCACCCGATCCTCCACAACGTCCATCGAACATGGACACAAATCAGGAAGCGACAAATCGCTCGCAGATTCGTCGATGGACCAAAAGCACTTCATGGCCTGACATCAAAAGATATGAACTAAAGCATCAGGATCATCAGGGATAGAATTGGGCGGGTATTGCGAGTGAAACTCGAGCTTGCTGAACCAATCAATAGCTCACATTTCACATATACACATGTGTATATATATATATATGTATATATATATATATATACACATAACATATCACAACATATCATACCATGCCAAACTCCTACAGATCATGCGTGTTTCCTACTTAGGGGAGTGCCTCGGGGGTCACGTGGTGCACCACCCAGGTCCGGTTGTGGATCTTCATAAAAGTGGCCTGAGCCAAGGCTCCGACACTTCTCCCCAACGCCGATTTGAAGATCAACTGCAAATATCATCTCATTTGAGGAAGAAAAAAACTACTGTTGATGGTAATATAGATTATGTTTTACAAATATATACATATATATATATATATACAAATACGAACTCATCAACTCATCAACTCCTCTGGGATATTCACCAACCCTCTGTCACAATAATGCCTTGGCAACGCATTGGCAGCACTTGGAGTGCTGATCTGCGATCTGCTCTCCAAGTCACATTGCACGAGGGGTTCAGGGCGAAGTGATTCAGATCACGATCATCCACTGCCACACTGACGTCACCTGCCATCGATGCCATCGTAGATGTTTTGGCGAAAAGATTTGAGGTCCTAGTTTGATCTAATTTAGGTATGACTTTGAAACTGCGGAAGGAACTACTATCACTCAATCATGGAATCTCTAATTTAATGGATGTGACAAGAGGTGCTCAGGGTCGCTTAGTCGGAGCTACCCTGGAGGCAGGATGAGAGGCAGTCAGCTGATTCGAGTCTGCCAGAAAAGATTATAAACATTTGTCAAATTGGGAGAAGTCTGTGAAATTGAGCAAGTTCCTTTCCATATAGTGCGACTGCGATGTCGCCTGAATCGACCAAGCTGGCCATGACGACCCCAAGAGCCTGGGCGAAAATCCAGGGAAACTGGCTCTAGCGACACATAGAAACAGCTGAATATTTGAGGACCATCTCCAGTTGCCTAGCGGGGGCCTATAAAATCCTATAAATATATATATATATAAAGATATATATATATATACACATACACACATACAGTACATATGTGTAGTAGTTTTCTTATTGTATCTATGTATCTATGTATCTATGTATGTATGTCTGTATGTCTGTCTGTCTGTATGTATGTATGTATGTAGGTAGGTAGGTATGTATATGTATATGTATATGTACAAGATGGTACAAGTGATGTATGAACATAACTATGAACATAATATATATATATACAGTATACATATGTAATCATATGTATACATATACTATTGGCAATATTTGAATGAGAATGCCAAACACCAATGAGCTATGGCAGCTATGGCATGTTCCAACGTTCCAACCAGCCGAAGCATCCAGGTTGACACCCAGGCACTGGGTCATCAGGATGCGGAAATTGCTTCGCCAGGTCCAAGGTCACCTATTGGAAAGTCACACATATTGGGCAGCTGCCTATCTGGTGAACTTGCATCACCGTTTTGGAACGTGACATGGCGATGGATCAATTTTGTTTCAGACTTGCAAAACTACAGATGTTCGTCTATTTTTAGCATTCACCATCCATTTTTAGGGATCTTCCATATAACCCATAGCCATCAGCCGATGTTATGCTTCGTGGCCACGGCTGATGGCGCCAAGCCTTTGCACCATCCAGCTGCTCTAGTTGCATCTTCCACACATCCGCAACATGCGCAAGGAGATCTCCCGACATCGCCTGCACCACGTGACATCTTGGCACCGGAAACTGCTGGGATTCCCTGAACGAAAACGGTAGAAATCAAACATTGAAATGCAGGTGAATGATGATGTCTGATGCCACTCCAAAGACTGCTAATTAGATGTTATTATAATGATTAATCATAATTATCAATGAATTATCAATCAAGTTAATAATGGCTTGTAGTGGTTGATAGCGACTACCTTAATCCATGCTCTGCGAACCACTGGACCAACCACGATGCAGCATGATGCAGCGATGCGGCCGCGCACCCAAAGATGACCACGGACATAGGGTGGAAAAATGTCGCCAAACATTGGATGCTCCCTGAGCCGAGCCCCGGGAAGCAAACCGGTTAGGCTTGTGTTGTCATTGTTCCCAAGAAATATATATATATTACATAAAATGTAGCCAAGAGATTGGGAGGTCTCACTACATTCTATTCTATTTCCACCCCCTTCCACCATACAACTTGGATCAAATTAACATAAATTAACCATATGATGGCAGAATATCTAAGGTATCATGTCACCCTCGGTCATCCTCCGCACATGGCAGATATCAAATCCCACAAACAATCACGAGGCAAGTGACTCGCCGCTGGATCAAATAACTGAAATTTCAACCATCGTTCTGAGATCTCTTGACCATCATCGATGTTGTTTGCCCTTGACGTAAGGCATAGTCTAAGTCTGACAGCAAAAACCTTCCCGCTGTGACACCTCTTTGGCAGCTGCTCTTCAGAGTTGTAGTGAGGGTGACGGGGATCTCGAACCACTGTGGAACCGCTGTCAAAGTTGCCCCACAAATATCCTCCGGCAGAGCATCAGAGCATCATATCATTGGGAGATATTGGGAGAGGGTTATGCCAAAATGTCCATCCCAATGGTGGCAAAAACCCGATCTGGGCTCCTACCGGCGGTCGTTGATCCAGCTGTCTCAACAATGGCCCTGGGCGCAGGTAGATGTCGTCGTCCGCACGGACGAGGTATCGCAGGTGAGGAAAGTTGAGATGTGCCCAGTGGAGCATTGACATGGCCTCGGGCATGGCTTGGTGAATCATGGTTCTGGCATAGAGAGCCAAGCGCTGTAAGGGTCCCGGCCTTCAGGGTAACAGCCTCGTACGCCTCTGGAGCATCTAATTCCACCATGTCTGGCAGGTGCCTTGCACACGAATTCAACAAAATGTGACGCAGTATGTGTATTGATTGCATCTGGCAAAAACTCATGCACATATGACTGTGGTTCAAAATGTGACTGGGTCATTCCCCAGTGATCAGGACGTCTGGATTGGGGGTGTGGGTCGTCTGTGGTCCGCGAAGCCCTGATAATCACCTTACAATTTGACTTGCGCCATAGGCCGCCATAGGCCATATGGTTCATATGATGCATGCATTAACAGTTATTTAATGACAAACATTCAAAAAGAATCAAGGCAAACGACAAACCCACCATATCTTGGATCGATTCATGGCAAGATGCAAATCCGGGATCTCCTGATCAACCTCCTGTAGACAGCGCCATAGGGGCCACACTCTGAACATTGAAAATTGCATAAGATGGGATGGTGGATATTGGTGGATGATGTTGGTATACCTCTATGTACCTCTTAGGGGGAAACAAGTGGAATCAGGTTGGGATGCATCTGAAGTTCCAAGGTCTCCTGAACTGCCACCGCAGCCCCCACGAAAAAGTGAAGACTCGTACCAGGGCCTCGTGGATCTGGGACCGACTCAACTGATTTGAAGACTGGACGGTCTGCAGTCCGAACCAGGTGAATATCAGATTTTCATGCCATGAAGTCATGAGAGTTTTAACCATTTTCACATATTTTCTATGATTATATAATTGAGAAAAATTGGGCTTCTCCATATTTAGCCCGCTATACATTGACCCAAACTTGTAGACTTCCCCAGGCAACACCTGCCGTCACAGCCGCCGCCTAGGCGTTTTGCCCAGGTTTCGCGAATGGCACCACGAAGTGCGTGTCCTAAACAAAAGCGTGGCTGGTTGTTGCTTCAAAAGGGGGTACCCAACATTGCCATTTCAATGGGAACTTTAACATCTTCAACAAACAAATATATAATGGATCTGGATGTTTCCAAACATGGGGGATAACTGGAAACTAATAAAAACCCTGGAAATTCGGAAAATTGTGCATCCGACCGTGGGATGGAATGGGGTATATAATATGTATATTATATATATATATATTAATATATATGATATATATGTATATATAGCTATATATACACTATTATAAATTATATACGTACCAGATTATGAGATCCAAGTATGATGTATGGGGGTAACAACCATCCATAACTGTGGAGCTGCTGAGGGGAGTTGATTGGGAAAAATAATGGCCCCAGTTGGAGGTAGTAGGGACCCATTGTTGTCGATGAGAAAATAGAACTCCTACCCACCCTTGGGTCACTGCATGTTCTGACATGCATGAAATGCAGCATGGGATTCCCTGCATATGTTCTTTCAAATGGTTCTGCAATATCAAAGTCTTGGCATCAAAGAATCTACAGCAATGTACAGTATGGTCTCTGGGAACCAGGTTTTAAATGGTTTTTGACAGTTTATACCAACCAGGAACTTGTCGAATCAACTCCAGCACAAATGGGATCATGGCCACTTCCCAAACACTTCCCTTGTGGCATCCTGATCGTCGGCTCATCAAACAGAAGGCCACGGACACGGAAAGCCCTGAGGACCCTGTCACTTCAGCTGTTTCTTTGTCCTGACTTCACGAAGGATGGTCTGGGGCGCGGGAAAATCTGCTGGAGCTTCGCACGTTTCAGTTTGATCCTGAAACCCTTTATCATCCGAGGGAGAATTCACATGGGACTTCTGCCTCGAAACAATCCACACATGTGATGCTACTGAAGTGAATGCTGCTACCATACCATACTGTATAGCCAAAACCTATACATGGATTCTAACCAACAGTAACCAACAGATCTTGGACAATACCACCCCCCATCACCCAAAAAAATGGTAAAAGGGGGATGCTGGGACATCCCAGCGTTGTATGTTGGCTGTTTTGGTTTTTAGGTTTATGTTCAATGTGTGTTCGTAGGTGCTGATGTTTTTTGTGATGGGGTTTCTGGGGATAATTTATCCAAAACTTTCACTGTGGTTTCTGTTGGAGTTTTTCCATTGTCTTTCAATGATGTTGATTAGTTCATAATATTTTTGCTTAAGATATTATGAATTTATCGTTTATTGTTTTACGCCGTCCATTTTCCTATTCCATCCCACCAGTTTTCAATCACTCTCATTTGTGTTAGGCAGGGTTTGTTTGTATCGTTCAGTTCATCCATCGCTATTGATAAAAGAGTTATATATATATATATATTAACAATCATAGCGTTGAATTCTCCATCACGGTTAAGTTCCTTACCACAGTCAATGATTACTTTTTTTATCAGTCAAGTTTTCATACATCTTTTTCATAATGTCAAATCTAACAAACGAATATATTACCATAGCATTTACTCCTTCATTTTCTTTCATCCTATCAATTACTTTCTTCCAAAATGTTTCTCCTTCCTCGTCATCGGGTAAAGGCATAGGATGACATTTTACAAAGTCTCTAACCTCTTCATCTTTTTTTCCATTGCTTGTTTGTAAAATTCTTCTTCATCTTCGCTTTCACTACCAAAGTCAGCATATATTCCGATATTACCTGTATCTATTACCTCAATTTTTGCTCTACTCATTTTCTCTTGTTATATATAGGTATTTTTTCTTTAAATAATTTTGGGGTCTCTTTCAGTTTTTAGGTTTTCTGTTGTCCCTTATCCACTGTAATCGTTTTGCTCGTTGTGTTTTCTATTATCACTTTCATATTCTTCATCATCAGGTTTTTCTTTCTTATCTTCATTCCTTACTTCTTCTGTCATCCTTCGGATTTTTATCTATACCGTGTTCTTTATCAATTCCTTCCATTACATTTCTAACTTGTTCAAGACCGATGTGTCGTTCAATCTCTTCGTCTGTCATCTTTCTAAATTGTTCTTTATATTCTTCATCATACTCTTCTTCATCCTCATCTTCAAAGTTCATAAACATTTCCATTCGTTGCTTTTCCATCTCCATAAGTTTATTTTCCATATGTTGGAATTTCATTTGTTACTTGCCACACTTTCCACAAACATTCACGAAGGTTTTAAGTAAATATCCCCAGTGAGGTGTTTTATAATCACCACTGTTTAAGTTGATGGTGTCTGACATTATACGACATCCACAGTCAAATTTAGTCATCTTATTTGCTCTTACTATATTAAAATTAAGGCAGTATTTCTTTTAAGTATATTTTTTAGTCTTGATAATTTTAAATCTAATACTATAATATATGACAAGGAGATTATCAAAAGATGATATTATCAGCAACATCTATTACGATTTGGAAAATGGTTTCGGTTCTATAGACGAGACCCTAAGGAAAGCAAAGGAGCAAGACCCTTCGATTAACAGGGTTGATGTGAGCGAATGGATGAAGAAACAACCCAACAAACAGATTAGGAGATACAGGGGTTCAAACTCATACACCGCACCGTTCGCAAGATATGAATATCAAATAGAATCAAATAGACATTATGGATATGAAACCTTTGACCAAGACGCCAGAGGTAAAAGTTCCAGTCAAGAACGGAGAACCGAGATACGGGTTAGTAGTGATAGATATATTCAGTAAGTTGGCAAACGTTGTTCCTATGAAAAACGCCTCAACAAAACCTACCCTCACTGAAACCAAACATTATCACAACAACCTCAACAAAACATTTAGCAAGATCATCAAAAAGAAACAGTCAAACATTTTCAGATTACAAGATTGAAGAAAAACATAACAACCTCCCAACCAACCTCCAACCTGTCCCAGTTTCCCATCCTTCCCCCATTTTTTTCACAGGTCAACGCCAGGGATCCCATGCCGCCAGGCGTTGTTGTCGACAGAGGCCGCATGCGAAATCTTGGACCCGGCTCCTGGCTCAACGGTCGTCACCATGGTGTCACCATGGTGTCACCGTTGGTCTTAAACGACACTTGACGTCACCTGCACCATGAAAATAAGGATTCCGGAACTGAGAGATAGCAAATTGTCTTGAAACAGAAAAGTGTCACTTCGAAATGACTGGTTTTGGATTTTTTAGCTGGGGCCAGATTGGGTCTGTTGGGATTGTAAGCTACTTCAGGGTTTCTGTCATTGGAAATCCCCAATACAAAACATCCTGATTCGGGCAGTGGCATACGGCCAAGCTTTGACGCCAAGACGCTTGAGATCTTGCCGATAGCGATATCTGAAAAGCTCCATCATCAGGAAAAGAAAGGTCTGTTTGTAGTACATGGCCTGAATTGGATCCGTTTCCCTCACATGGATCCATGGTGCAAGATGCCCTAGAGGCTCTGGAGTCGCCCCCCTATAATATCCTTTCCAAGCTGAGTGGCATCATTCTTGTCCTTAGTCGCAGCAGCGGTGCTGCTATCTTCCATGCCGGGTGTTGGGAGCCCCCAACATGTTCAACATGTCAATATGGTACTGAGCATCATGGATCATGACGACTAGACCAAAACACAACAGGAGACCTTGCGCTTGTTCCTACAAAGTTCTTACAGGAGGAATGATGGTCAAGCCGACCCCACCTGATGTTCGGCCAAGTTGCAGGGTTGTTGTACCTCGGTCAGTCAGCATGTGCTCCATTTACAGGCAGTACCACCATCTCCTGTTTTGCCACCTCTGATAGACCCATTTATCAATGTGTTCTCAGTTTCTCAGGATTCTTGTGATTCTTCATGCCCTAAGGAGATCTAAGGAGAGCATGTTCACCTAGTCCTAGGTACATGTCTTCCAGGTATGTCTCCAGGATCAAGGGATGCATTCGCAGGAATGGCTGCACGGCATCCGGCAAATGGAAGAAGACCCTGGTCAGCGCTGCTGTGATTTTCTTCTCAAGATGAGCTACACCGGCTACATGGCGTCATGATATCTTGACAAACAACGAATATGATGCTGGGCGTTGTGTGGTGTATGTCAGGCCCTGGAACAAAGAATATTGTTTTGTCCGAGTGTTCTACCATCTTCTACCAAATATCTACATAGTCGCAGCGATCAATTAATATGAATCCTTTGAAAGCTGAGTTCGTTGGTTCTGCTTTTCGAGCCCCTACGAAAAGTGTTCCATAAATCCTATGTCTTTAGCCTCGACCAGTCAGCATGAGGTTCCATGCCAGTACGATCACTCCGCAACCATTACCTTTCCAGGTTCCGGCCGGGTACCTCTGCAGCTTCTTGTGAACCTCCGCAGGAACCAACGGATGCGTTCCGAAGCCAACAGCATCCACAACGGCTTGTGGCAACAGCTCATCCTCATCGGCCATGCAAATGGCCTTGGGACACTGCGTCGCCAATAGAAATCCCAATGAAATCCCTACAAGTTGATGAAACAAATATTTTAAAAAAATCGACATTTCTGAATTTCTCCACTGAGACCCCACACAGTGAAATGATACGGCAGGAAAGCTGCCCGTCGGGTTTCAAGGCGACCATCTTCCAGGAAAACATGGCCTCACAGGGGCATGGCGCACTTAGCATCGAAAACATTGGTCAATTGCGATCACAATCTCTCCTTCAAACATCTCCATGGCGTTCTCGTAGTTCCACTGGCTCTTGTTCTTACCATCCTCAAAAGCATTCACGAATCGGAGGGCTATCAGCGTCTCTCCAACATTTGTTTATTGAATAATAATAACAATAATAATAATAATAGTCCATTATGCCAATCAATGTGGATCGTTTTTATGGTCTGTGACAAACACTTTTTTTTGGAAGGGTGGCCAACATGTTAAAATCATTCAGAACCCTCCTTCACTGGGAACCTGCAGAAACTTGTGAAGCTAGCGGCTACCACAAGCCATCACGAAGCTGGGCAGAAATATGCAGAAAATAAGGTGTTGAAATCAATGTTTCCATCATCTGCCATCATCTTCCATCATCTTCCATGATCAAAATCCAACAGCTGAGATCAGGCCAAGTTTCACAAGCAGCCCATTCTGATGTGAAAAACATGGATAGGTAGTGACCTCAGCTCTGATCCCATCCCATCACCCTGGAGATCCCTGGAGTGTCCAGTTTTGACCGAGAGGCGCTTGGGTCCGATGATGGTGTGACCTCCAATCACCGTCTCCCCAATATATTCCAAGCGGTCCTGAGTCGAACGTCTTGCGAAAGGGGTAAAACAACCAATTGATACAGGAAAACCATCTGCGGCTGCATATGTTATGAATATGTCCGTCCAGGGCAAGAGTCGAAATGATAGATCCATGGGTATTGCGACACATCAGCTGAGAAGTATGGCACCATTTCTTCCGTCTCTGACAGCACCTGAGATGCTGCAGGACCCACAGCATCTCCATTCAGGATATTATGCATGCATGCATATATATATATATGTATATATATATATTATACATATATTATATTATATTATATTATATTATTTTATTTTATTTTATATTATATTATATTATATTATATTAAATTATATTAAATTATATTATATTATATTATATTATATTGTATTATATTATATTATATATATATATATATTGTATATATATATTGTGTATATATATATTGTATATATATATATGTATTGTGTATAAGTATATATATATATTGTATAATATATATATATTATATGTTTGAAAGCGTGGAGTCCTAAACAAAAAAAATCGTGTCACTCTTGCCCTTAGCGCACGCATTTTTTGAGACGCGTTCTTTGAGAGTCGCCAGTCATGATACTTCGAGCAAAACACAAACAATCAGCCGTTCAATTCGGATGGAAATAAACACAGGGCGGGTCCAATAAAAGACGTTGTTCTTCAGCATGTTGCAGCATCTTTCCCAGCAACATCCAGCAACTGCCAATGATGACAGGTCACTCCATCAAAGAAGGACAAGTCGCCATCCATGTCCTGCCATGAGCTTCGGGACTCTTCACGATGACTTCACGATCCCCCAATGGTCCAAGCATGTCCAAGCCACCGCACCTTGGGACCCTTGGGACCATCTTGCTTCATGTGAAGCACACGACACTCCTGCAGATCCATAGAAATCATACGAGGCATCAAAGACACAAATCTTTAAACATATGATAAAATCAGGACGTTGGGAAGGTTGGAGGAGTGCTTTCAAACCGCAGCTTGAGTAATTCTACCTTTTTCAAGCGCTGAAATCCGTAGCAGCTTCATGAGTAATTCTATCTTTTTCTCATCACATCCTGCTACAGCAGCGACACAAACCCCGCCATCCCTACACCTGAAATCCTCCGAAGATGTCATGGGACTCCGTAGGTGGCACTTCGTCCCAGAGATGTACAAAGCTACCCTCATCATAGGGATATGAGCATCCTGAGCCGTCTCAACCCTGCATCCAAATAGAGTTGCCACAGGAGGTCAATCCTTTAATGTCAACCCTGGATTATATAATAAACCCTTAGTCTGTTAAATATGGGGTGGTACCATTTAAGTATGAGATTATGACTAATTAGTGACTAATTATTGGGGAAGTACCCCCCTAGATAATAAACTATATTGACTATGGATTATTATGGATTATTAATCCGGGGTTGACATTACTCCATTTGCATGGCAAGTAGCTAAACGATCGAGGCTTTGCCCAACTAGGTAGATCCTGCTAAGGCATTCCTCTCGTCCCTACAGTCTCCCCTTGTGAAGGCATGTGCCCCCAAGTGGTTTGACGATGCCATCAGCATATGATTCATATGATCATTTTATAGCACTTGGATATACAATGATATACAGTAGCTTTTTTACTTTCCAAAAAATCCGGCTGAAAGAGCCCTCAGTCAACTGCCACCAAGCCCAGAAGATCCACCTACTCCGCCCAGGCCGAAACTCCTTGTCACGCTCGCTTTCAGCCTGGGCTTCTTGCCAACGCCTGTCATTCGGGTGATCCACCATCAACATCCATCAACCAGCTGCCCCTTGGCTCATCTCGGCTCAAGTGGTTGGATGATGCAGGATACACTGACCATCACTGACCACACAGGAGCTCATCCCATCACCTCCCGGCCGCACCTCAGAGATGACTTCTGCAGGTAGGAGACCCACTCATCGCTTGGAGACAGACCTGAGCGGCTCATTGCTGAAGGAATCATCCAGGTGTATGTCGTTCTTACCATTGACATCCATTGACAAACTACGATTGTGCAACCATGTGCAGTGCAACCCAATAACGCTGGATCCTCCCTGAACCACAATAAATCACAGTGAAACCAGTTGATCTTGGAGTGGTTCAGTATGGTTCAGTGCTTTCCTGGGGAGCACTAATTCACCCGATCTTCCTCCGAGGAGCTGCTGTCTTTGCAGAACTGGGGGCGGCCACACCATTCGTTGCAGTGTTCATCATGATCTTCAGCGACATAGCCTCGGTTGACGCCCACCAATTATAATAATTAAGTATCAATCACCCTCAAATTTGGCAAGATTAGTCTGAGTATGTCTGAGTCATCCCCAGAATGTGCTGCGCCAGCATCCAATCTTGCAGATTTGTTGGAGATGATGTGCTTGGCACATTGACCCTCCAATTTTGGGGGTACTCGATTTTCAGGCTACAGGTATTCCATTGAACCACTGAACCCCACCCATAGCAGGTCCATCCTGTTCCCCATCCCAGTCACGCATGAAGCCCACGCACCAGCTTCTGCGATCGCACCAGTTCCGCGCCAGATCGTCCAGGTCACCTGAAACCACTGAGGTGCCCAGTTGGTCGAATCGTGGCCACGGCAGCCAAGGCACTGGTCCAGTTGTGTCCCACTTGGCCAATTGGATAGACGTCTTCAAACTCCACACATCGGCCATTTACGACCTTCCTGAGGCCGAATTCATGTAGAAATTAAGATAAATTAAGTCAGTTTTGCAACCCAACATCAGTTTCAGCTTCCAGGGGTCTAGGGTTTTGGGCTTCCATTCCAGTCTTGAGTGCCTTGCATCCGTGATGCACCAGTTCCAAAGATTGAAACCCAACAACACTGCTCTTGAGAATACAAATTCACGATCCAGCGAATCCTCTGAAGGTTGAAACAAAATGAAACTGAACATTGGGATCCATGGAACATAGAGCTGTCTGTTCAAGAATTGAACATTGGGATCCATTGATCCATTGATAATCCATGAGTTTAAGGATTCGAGCTGGCTGCCCGAGTCTCACATAGTCTTCGGCATCGCCGAGACCAGCAGCCAGGCCAGCGAAAAACCGCAACAGGACCTCGGCCAGTCGGGGTGGCGTCCGACGTGGACGTTTTCATTGGATGCTCCGAGCCAAACTGGGAGGCATTCCATGGCATTCCAGCTGTGTAAATCCGGTGTTCCATGGATAGAATGAGAACTCAGCCCATTGACTGCAGCATACTGCAGCAGAGACATCTGCTAAAAATGGACACCATCCATATTTGGAATCTGCAGCCAAAACACCAACGGTTTCCTGGCTCTCATAGATCCTCCCACATTGACTCCCACATCGCTGGGATGGCCATCATGGCTAAGGATTCAAAAGATCGCCGTGCAATCCAGCTTCGGCCCATCCAGGTCGTAAAACTATGGCTGCCATGGCTCAAACATCACTTTCCGTTCCAAGGCTTGGTCCCAATTCCACCTATTCCATCCTATTCCCATCCATGAAAGCCGAGAGGTGAGCCAGGTGAGCATGCAGCTCCACTTTTCTGTGCGAGAAGTGGATATATATCCTCCAAGATTTGGTCGCGCCTCTTTCGCGCTAGGGCACCATTGGCTCCCAAGCGGATCAAAGGCACAACACGATGCGTACTCTTGCAATCCATTTGAAGCAGGAGCCATTAACAAACAGTCTACAACACAATAGAACCTGCGAAACAAACATCAGGCCCCTTTCAAAACTATGCACATGTCACGGAAAATTCCAGAGTTTGGAATTGCTTCCCACTCAGTCAACCCACTTAGCGAGGTAGGTGCTGGCCTTCAAGGCAGCTTCCACCTGGGCGGTGTCCATGGACTTGTACTTGGCCAAGTCCTGCTTCACAGTATGGGAGACAAGACTCAGAAGCAAGAGAAATGGTGTCCTTGTACGGGGAAAAAACGGAAGAGAAAAAGGAAGTCACAAGCAAATGAACAAGTAAGGCATTATAATCATTATGAGGCAACAAATTGTTCTTTCTTCTGCGATTCATTTCTTTCTGTCAAACGGCACTGTGCGTTGAGGCCTAGACTCTTCTTGCGCTCAACTGTCACTCTGATCATCTCTGATCATCTCTGATCCCCGTCCTTCGCGTTCTCCCACTCAAAGAACTTGATGCCATCCCTTGGGCTAAGCCGCTAAAACGGCTAGGATGGAGAACTGGAACGACTGATGCGTTCGAGACATGGTCAATATTAGTCAATATCATATCCATTTTAAATTCCAGGCATCTCAATATCCCAGGCGACATGTGCACACCTGGATTGGTTTCGTGGCACTAGATCTGCTACCCAGTACCCACTGTGAACAGCCGAACCAGGTCGCAGGAGCTTCAGCAACTCTGGCCAAGTGTCTTGGTGACTGGCTCACGGCCGAAGTGGCAGTATGCTGCGGTCTCCTGGTACTTTGGCTCGCGCAATGCCAAGGACTGCGCAATGGCACCAGGACGGCAGTCGAACTCAATCCTGAGATGAAAGCTTATCAAACATCTAAAAACTCTTACAGATCAGTTGCAGCAAGATGAGCAAACAAAGTTGAAAAGGTTCCGGAGTCACAAATCTTGAGAAGCATTCAAATTTGTTGAGATCCAAGGTCCAAGAGTCCAAGAATCTTAGAATATCTTAGAATATCTTAGAATATCCCTATAGACTCGTTCCAAAGTTCAGCAGTTTCAGTCCCAACGGGCGGATTCTCTGCGGATCTCTGCGCAACTCTATCTTTGTACTGTCTTGGACTTGGACTGTCTCAAACAAACATTCAGACAACCAAGGCGCTTCAAGATGCTGGTGATGTCGTTCACGGTGAGGCCGGTCTTCTCACTTCCATAGGTCTCCACGAAGAGAGACAATGGCTTGGCAACACCAATGGCATAAGAGAGCTGCACAAGGCATCGTGCACTCAAGCCGCTGCTCACCACAGACTTTGCCATCTGTCGGCAAATGTAGGCTGCGGATCGGTCCACCTTGGTAGGGTCCTTGCCGGAGAACGCACCACCACCATGAGCACCCCAGCCACCGTAGGTGTCGATGATGATCTTGCGACCAGTGAGACCGGCATCACCCTGAGGACCACCAATGATGAACTTGCCAGAAGGATTGATGTGCAAGTGAGTGTGGCTGCCGTACAGGCTGATGGCAGGCTGGCCATTCTTCAGCTTGATCTGCTCAAGAGTGCGCTTGATCACCTTCTCCTCAATCTCCTTGTTCATCTGCTCCATGCTTGGGGCAGTCATCTCAGCTCCCTTGTAGCCCTCGCACTCCTTGCTGCGCACGGCCTTCAGAGGCTCAGCGTGCTGAGTGGAAATCACCACGGTGTGGATCTTCTTTGGCTCAACGGAGCCATCAGGGTGCTGCAGGTACTCAATGGTCACCTGGGTCTTGCCATCTGGGCGCAACCACCAGCACTCACCGCTCTTGCGAACATCAGTCAGGGTCTTGCCCAAACGCGTGGCCATGGAGTGGGTCAAAGGCATGCAGTCAGATGTCTCATCGCTGGCATATCCAAACATGATGCCCTGGTCACCGGCACCCACGTCCAAGTCCTCCTTGTTCACATGGACGCCGCCGGCAATGTCAGGGCTCTGCTTGTTGATGCGCACCAGCACTTCGCAGCTCTTGTGGCTCAATCCCTTGCTGTCCACGCTGGACAGGTCATCCACAAAGCTGTCAAAACCGATCTGTGCCACGACTCCTCGCACAACCTTGTCATAGTCCAACTTGGCCTCAGTGGTGATCTCACCTGCCACCATGACCATGTTGTCCTTGGTTGCAGTCTCGCAAGCCACCTTGCTCTTGGGGTCCACCTTGAGGCATGCATCCAGCACTGCATCGGACACCTGGTCGCAGATCTTGTCAGGATGGCCCTCGTTGACAGACTCGGAAGAGAAGAGGAAAGTGCGGCTGGTGCGGGCCTTCTTCTGCGCAGGCTCGGCCATGGCTACAATAGAGGATTGAGAGGGGCGAACCGGCAAGGGAAGCGATTAAACTCTGGATCTGCAAACGAACATCTGGGGCTAATGCATCTGGGGCTTCTGAGGTGTGATTTATCTGCTGCGATCACGAGTCTTCCTCACACATTCTTACAAGGATCAAGGAGCCTTTCGAAATTCTCTAGGATGCTCATCGGGCAAATGAATGTCACAACCAGAACTAACACGCTTTGCATGAGGACCGTCAGAAAAAGCAAGGACGCTGTCTGACTTGAAGCCATTTCAGGTTTGGATCCGTCCCCGATAATGCATGTGTTCATCTGTTTTCCGCTTTTGGCAGTCAGAGAGAAGCAAGTTCTCCAAATGTGCCCCTTTCGCGCCGGTGATTGTGGATCACCAGCGGATCAAAGGCCCAACTGGGATGTGCCTCCCTAGATTCCTTTCTGCTTTTTTTCTGCGTTGTCATGGAGCCCCCATAATCAAAGGATCAAAAGCAAGGCAATGTAAAAATCATATGCAAAATAGTGCAAAATCCAAAAGAAACAACTTACCAGCGCATCAGGCTCCTTTCAATACTATACACAAGTCTTGCAAAAGACCGGGAAAATCCAGAGTTTGGAATTGCTTCCCACTCAGTCAACCCACTTAGCGAGGTAGGTGCTGGCCTTCAAGGCAGCTTCAACCTGGGTGGTGTCCATGGACTTGTACTTGGCCAGGTCCTGCTTCAAACATGCGCTTCTGACAGGGCCAGGGTTGCTTATGCAAGCTCCAGATACCTTCGACAGAACAGTGAAGAACACAAGTTTTTGACCTAAGGGAAGGTTCGTGACATCCAAAGACTTTCACAAACTGTGCTTACATTCTTTCTACCTTTTTCTTCCATTTTATTCATGTTATTCCTCTCCAGTCCTTTGCGTTCTCCCACTCGAAGTACTTGATGCCGTTCCTTGGAACCGAGGACAAATGAGAACAGTAGTGCTCTCCGTCTAACAGTTCTCCAACTTCTTGCATGACATTTGCTGGATTGTCCCTGTATGCAAGACAATGAGTTCTTCTACGGTTCTACCATTCTTTGCTAGGTACCTGCTTGGCCAAGTCTGTCAGGAATCTAAGAGGGTGCTTAAATGCAAGGAGAGTTTCTTGGTGACTGGCTCACGGCCGAAGTGGCAGTATGCTGCGGTCTCCTGGTACTTTGGCTCGCGCAATGCCAAGGACTGCGCAATGGCACCAGGACGGCAGTCGAACTCAATCCTGAGATGAAAGCTTATCAAACATCTAAAAACTCTTACAGATCAGTTGCAGCAAGATGAGCAAACAAAGTTGAAAAGGTTCCGGAGTCACAAATCTTAAGAAGCATGCTTTGCTGAGATATCTGAGATCCAAGGTCTAAGAGTCCAAGAGTCTTGGAAGACTCTTAGAATATCTTAGAAGATCTTAGAAGATCTTAGAATATCTTAGAATATCACCATAGACTCGTTCCAAAGTTCAGCAGTTTCAGTCCCAACGGGCGGATTCTCTGCGGATCTCTGCGCAACTCTATCTTTGTACTGTCTTGGACTTGGACTGTCTCAAACAAACATTCAAACAACCAAGGTGCTTCAAGATGCTGGTGATGTCGTTCACGGTGAGGCCGGTCTTCTCACTTCCATAGGTCTCCACGAAGAGAGACAATGGCTTGGCAACACCAATGGCATAAGAGAGCTGCACAAGGCATCGTGCACTCAAGCCGCTGCTCACCACAGACTTTGCCATCTGTCGGCAAATGTAGGCTGCGGATCGGTCCACCTTGGTAGGGTCCTTGCCGGAGAACGCACCACCACCATGAGCACCCCAGCCACCGTAGGTGTCGATGATGATCTTGCGGCCAGTGAGACCGGCATCACCCTGAGGACCACCAATGATGAACTTGCCAGAAGGATTGATGTGCAAGTGAGTGTGGCTGCCGTACAGGCTGATGGCAGGCTGGCCATTCTTCAGCTTGATCTGCTCAAGAGTGCGCTTGATCACCTTCTCCTCAATCTCCTTGTTCATCTGCTCCATGCTTGGGGCAGTCATCTCAGCTCCCTTGTAGCCCTCGCACTCCTTGCTGCGCACGGCCTTCAGAGGCTCAGCGTGCTGAGTGGAAATCACCACGGTGTGGATCTTCTTTGGCTCAACGGAGCCATCAGGGTGCTGCAGGTACTCAATGGTCACCTGGGTCTTGCCATCTGGGCGCAACCACCAGCACTCACCGCTCTTGCGAACATCAGTCAGGGTCTTGCCCAAACGCGTGGCCATGGAGTGGGTCAAAGGCATGCAGTCAGATGTCTCATCGCTGGCATATCCAAACATGATGCCCTGGTCACCGGCACCCACGTCCAAGTCCTCCTTGTTCACATGGACGCCGCCGGCAATGTCAGGGCTCTGCTTGTTGATGCGCACCAGCACTTCGCAGCTCTTGTGGCTCAATCCCTTGCTGTCCACGCTGGACAGGTCATCCACAAAGCTGTCAAAACCGATCTGTGCCACGACTCCTCGCACAACCTTGTCATAGTCCAACTTGGCCTCAGTGGTGATCTCACCTGCCACCATGACCATGTTGTCCTTGGTTGCAGTCTCGCAAGCCACCTTGCTCTTGGGGTCCACCTTGAGGCATGCATCCAGCACTGCATCGGACACCTGGTCGCAGATCTTGTCAGGATGGCCCTCGTTGACAGACTCGGAAGAGAAGAGGAAAGTGCGGCTGGTGCGGGCCTTCTTCTGCGCAGGCTCGGCCATGGCTACAATAGAGGATTGAGAGGGGCGAACCGGCAAGGGAAGCGATTAAACTCTGGATCTGCAAACGAACATCTGGGGCTAATGCATCTGGGGCTTCTGAGGTGTGATTTATCTGCTGCGATCACGAGTCTTCCTCACACATTCTTACAAGGATCAAGGAGCCTTTCGAAATTCTCTAGGATGCTCATCGGGCAAATGAATGTCACAACCAGAACTAACACGCTTTGCATGAGGACCGTCAGGAAAAACAAGGACGCTGTCTGACTTGAAGCCATTTCAGGTTTGGATCCGTCCCCGATAATGCATGTGTTCATCTGTTTTCCGCTTTTGGCAGTCAGAGAGAAGCAAGTTCTCCAAATGTGCCCCTTTCGCGCCGGTGATTGTGGATCACCAGCGGATCAAAGGCCCAACTGGGATGTGCCTCCCTAGATTCCTTTCTGCTTTTTTTCTGCGTTGTCATGGAGCCCCCATAATCAAAGGATCAAAAGCAAGGCAATGTAAAAATCATATGCAAAATAGTGCAAAATCCAAAAGAAACAACTTACCAGCGCATCAGGCTCCTTTCAATACTATACACAAGTCTTGCAAAAGACCGGGAAAATCCAGAGTTTGGAATTGCTTCCCACTCAGTCAACCCACTTAGCGAGGTAGGTGCTGGCCTTCAAGGCAGCTTCAACCTGGGTGGTGTCCATGGACTTGTACTTGGCCAGGTCCTGCTTCAAACATGCGCTTCTGACAGGGCCAGGGTTGCTTATGCAAGCTCCAGATACCTTCGACAGAACAGTGAAGAACACAAGTTTTTGACCTAAGGGAAGGTTCGTGACATCCAAAGACTTTCACAAACTGTGCTTACATTCTTTCTACCTTTTTCTTCCATTTTATTCATGTTATTCCTCTCCAGTCCTTTGCGTTCTCCCACTCGAAGTACTTGATGCCGTTCCTTGGAACCGAGGACAAATGAGAACAGTAGTGCTCTCCGTCTAACAGTTCTCCAACTTCTTGCATGACATTTGCTGGATTGTCCCTGTATGCAAGACAATGAGTTCTTCTACGGTTCTACCATTCTTTGCTAGGTACCTGCTTGGCCAAGTCTGTCAGGAATCTAAGAGGGTGCTTAAATGCAAGGAGAGTGTCTTGGTGACTGGCTCACGGCCGAAGTGGCAGTATGCTGCGGTCTCCTGGTACTTTGGCTCGCGCAATGCCAAGGACTGCGCAATGGCACCAGGACGGCAGTCGAACTCAATCCTGAGATGAAAGCTTATCAAACACCTAAAAACTCTTACAGATCAGTTGCAGCAAGATGAGCAAACAAAGTTGAAAAGGTTCCGGAGTCACAAATCTTGAAGAAGCATGCAAATTTGCTGAGATCCAAGGTCTAAGAGTCCAAGAGTCTTGGAAGTCTTAGAATATCTTAGAAGATCTTAGAAATCTTAGAATATCTTAGAATATCCCCATAGACTCGTTCCAAAGTTCAGCAGTTTCAGTCCCAACGGGCGGATTCTCTGCGGATCTCTGCGCAACTCTATCCTGTCTTGGACTTGGACTGTCCAAACAAACATTCAGACAACCAAGGCGCTTCAAGATGCTGGTGATGTCGTTCACGGTGAGGCCGGTCTTCTCACTTCCATAGGTCTCCACGAAGAGAGACAATGGCTTGGCAACACCAATGGCATAAGAGAGCTGCACAAGGCATCGTGCACTCAAGCCGCTGCTCACCACAGACTTTGCCATCTGTCGGCAAATGTAGGCTGCGGATCGGTCCACCTTGGTAGGGTCCTTGCCGGAGAACGCACCACCACCATGAGCACCCCAGCCACCGTAGGTGTCGATGATGATCTTGCGGCCAGTGAGACCCGCATCACCCTGAGGACCACCAATGATGAACTTGCCAGAAGGATTGATGTGCAAGTGAGTGTGGCTGCCGTACAGGCTGATGGCAGGCTGGCCATTCTTCAGCTTGATCTGCTCAAGAGTGCGCTTGATCACCTTCTCCTCAATCTCCTTTTTCATCTGCTCCATGCTTGGGGCAGTCATCTCAGCTCCCTTGTAGCCCTCGCACTCCTTGCTGCGCACAGCCTTCAGAGGCTCAGCGTGCTGAGTGGAAATCACCACGGTGTGGATCTTCTTTGGCTCAACGGAGCCATCAGGGTGCTGCAGGTACTCAATGGTCACCTGGGTCTTGCCATCTGGGCGCAACCACCAGCACTCACCGCTCTTGCGAACATCAGTCAGGGTCTTGCCCCAACGCGTGGCCATGGAGTGGGTCAAAGGCATGCAGTCAGATGTCTCATCACTGGCATATCCAAGCATGATGCCCTGGTCACCGGCACCTACGTCCAAGTCCTCCTTGTTCACATGGCGCCGGCGGCAATGTCAGGGCTCTGCTTGTTGATGCGCGCCAGCACTTCGCAGCTCTTGTGGCTCAATCCCTTGCTGTCCACGCTGGACCAGTCATCCACAAAGCTGTCAAAACCGATCTGTGCCACAACTCCTCGCACAACCTTGTCATAGTCCAACTTGGCCTCAGTGGTGATCTCACCTGCCACCATGACCATGTTATCCTTGGTTGCAGTCTCGCAAGCCACCTTGCTCTTGGGGTCCACCTTGAGGCATGCATCCAGCACTGCATCGGACACCTGGTCGCAGATCTTGTCAGGATGGCCCTCGTTGACAGACTCGGAAGAGAAGAGGAAAGTGCGGCTGGTGCGGGCCTTCTTCTGCGCAGGCTCGGCCATGGCTACAATAGAGGATTGAGAGGGGCGAACCGGCAAGGGAAGCGATTAAACTCTGGATCTGCGGACGAACATCTGGGGCTAATGCATCTGGGGCTTCTGAGGTGTGATTTATCTGCTGCGATCACGAGTCTTCCTCACACATTCTTACAAGGATCAAGGAGCCTTTCGAAATTCTCTAGGATGCTCATCGGGCAAATGAATGTCACAACCAGAACCAACACGCTTTGCATGAGGACCGTCAGGAAAAACAAGGACGCTGTCTGACTGTTTGGATCCGTCCCCGATAATGCATGTGTTCATCCATCTGTTTTCCGCTTTTGGCAGTCAGAGAGAAGCAAGTTCTCCAAATGTGCCCCTTTCGCGCCGGTGATTGTGGATCACCAGTGGATCAAAGGCCCAACTGGGATGTGCCTTCCTAGATTCCTTTCTGCTTTTTTTCTGCGTTGTCATGGAGCCCCCATAATCAAAGAATCAAAAGCAAGGCAATGTAAAAATCATGTGCAAAATAGTGCAAAATCCAAAAGAAACAACTTACCAGCGCATCAGGCTCCTTTCAATACTATACACAAGTCTTGCAAAAGACCGGGAAAATCCAGAGTTTGGAATTGCTTCCCACTCAGTCAACCCACTTAGCGAGGTAGGTGCTGGCCTTCAAGGCAGCTTCAACCTGGGTGGTGTCCATGGACTTGTACTTGGCCAGGTCCTGCTTAAAACATGCGCTTCTGACAGGGCCAGGGTTGCTTATGCAAGCTCCAGATACCTTCTGGGACAGAACAAGCAGTGAAGAACACAAGTTTTTGACCTAAGGGAAGGTTCGTGACATCCAAAGACTTTCACAAACTGTGCTTACATTCTTTCTACCTTTTTCTTCCATTTTATTCATGTTATTCCTCTCCAGTCCTTTGCGTTCTCCCACTCGAAGTACTTGATGCCGTTCCTTGGAACCGAGGACAAATGAGAACAGTAGTGCTCTCCGTCTAACAGTTCTCCAACTTCTTGCATGACATTTGCTGGATTGTCCCTGTATGCAAGACAATGAGTTCTTCTACGGTTCTACCATTCTTTGCTAGGTACCTACTTGGCCAAGTCTGTCAGGAATCTAAGAGGGTGCTTAAATGCAAGGAGAGTTTCTTGGTGACTGGCTCACGGCCGAAGTGGCAGTATGCTGCGGTCTCCTGGTACTTTGGCTCGCGCAATGCCAAGGACTGCGCAATGGCACCAGGACGGCAGTCGAACTCAATCCTGAGATGAAAGCTTATCAAACACCTAAAAACTCTTACAGATCAGTTGCAGCAAGATGAGCAAACAAAGTTGAAAAGGTTCCGGAGTCACAAATCTTGAGAAGCATTCAAATTTGCTGAGATCCAAGGTCTAAGAGTCCAAGAGTCCAAGAATCTTAGAATATCTTAGAATATCCCCATAGACTCGTTCCAAAGTTCAGCAGTTTCAGTTTTAAGGGGCGGATTCTCTGCAGATCTCTGCGGAACCCCACCCCACTGTCCCAAACAAACATTCAGACAACCAAGGCGCTTCAAGATGCTGGTGATGTCGTTCACGGTGAGGCCGGTCTTCTCACTTCCATAGGTCTCCACGAAGAGAGACAATGGCTTGGCAACACCAATGGCATAAGAGAGCTGCACAAGGCATCGTGCACTCAAGCCGCTGCTCACCACAGACTTTGCCATCTGTCGGCAAATGTAGGCTGCGGATCGGTCCACCTTGGTAGGGTCCTTGCCGGAGAACGCACCACCACCATGAGCACCCCAGCCACCGTAGGTGTCGATGATGATCTTGCGGCCAGTGAGACCCGCATCACCCTGAGGACCACCAATGATGAACTTGCCAGAAGGATTGATGCCGTGCAAGTGAGTGTGGCTGCCGTACAGGCTGATGGCAGGCTGGCCATTCTTCAGCTTGATCTGCTCAAGAGTGCGCTTGATCACCTTCTCCTCAATCTCCTTGTTCATCTGCTCCATGCTTGGGGCAGTCATCTCAGCTCCCTTGTAGCCCTCGCACTCCTTGCTGCGCACGGCCTTCAGAGGCTCAGCGTGCTGAGTGGAAATCACCACGGTGTGGATCTTCTTTGGCTCAACGGAGCCATCAGGGTGCTGCAGGTACTCAATGGTCACCTGGGTCTTGCCATCTGGGCGCAACCACCAGCACTCACCGCTCTTGCGAACATCAGTCAGGGTCTTGCCCAAACGCGTGGCCATGGAGTGGGTCAAAGGCATGCAGTCAGATGTCTCATCGCTGGCATATCCAAACATGATGCCCTGGTCACCGGCACCCACGTCCAAGTCCTCCTTGTTCACATGGACGCCGCCGGCAATGTCAGGGCTCTGCTTGTTGATGCGCACCAGCACTTCGCAGCTCTTGTGGCTCAATCCCTTGCTGTCCACGCTGGACCAGTCATCCACAAAGCTGTCAAAACCGATCTGTGCCACAACTCCTCGCACAACCTTGTCATAGTCCAACTTGGCCTCAGTGGTGATCTCACCTGCCACCATGACCATGTTATCCTTGGTTGCAGTCTCGCAAGCCACCTTGCTCTTGGGGTCCACCTTGAGGCATGCATCCAGCACTGCATCGGACACCTGGTCGCAGATCTTGTCAGGATGGCCCTCGTTGACAGACTCGGAAGAGAAGAGGAAAGTGCGGCTGGTGCGGGCCTTCTTCTGCGCAGGCTCGGCCATGGCTACAATAGAGGATTGAGAGGGGCGAACCGGCAAGGGAAGCGATTAAACTCTGGATCTGCAAACGAACATCTGGGGCTAATGCATCTGGGGCTTCTGAGGTGTGATTTATCTGCTGCGATCACGAGTCTTCCTCACACATTCTTACAAGGATCAAGGAGCCTTTCGAAATTCTCTAGGATGCTCATCGGGCAAATGAATGTCACAACCAGAACTAACACGCTTTGCATGAGGACCGTCAGAAAAAAAGCAAGGACGCTGTCTGACTTGAAGCCATTTCAGGTTTGGATCCGTCCCCGATAATGCATGTGTTCATCTGTTTTCCGCTTTTGGCAGTCAGAGAGAAGCAAGTTCTCCAAATGTGCCCCTTTCGCGCCGGTGATTGTGGATCACCAGCGGATCAAAGGCCCAACTGGGATGTGCCTCCCTAGATTCCTTTCTGCTTTTTTTCTGCGTTGTCATGGAGCCCCCATAATCAAAGGATCAAAAGCAAGGCAATGTAAAAATCATATGCAAAATAGTGCAAAATCCAAAAGAAACAACTTACCAGCGCATCAGGCTCCTTTCAATACTATACACAAGTCTTGCAAAAGACCGGGAAAATCCAGAGTTTGGAATTGCTTCCCACTCAGTCAACCCACTTAGCGAGGTAGGTGCTGGCCTTCAAGGCAGCTTCAACCTGGGTGGTGTCCATGGACTTGTACTTGGCCAGGTCCTGCTTCAAACATGCGCTTCTGACAGGGCCAGGGTTGCTTATGCAAGCTCCAGATACCTTCGACAGAACAGTGAAGAACACAAGTTTTTGACCTAAGGGAAGGTTCGTGACATCCAAAGACTTTCACAAACTGTGCTTACATTCTTTCTACCTTTTTCTTCCATTTTATTCATGTTATTCCTCTCCAGTCCTTTGCGTTCTCCCACTCGAAGTACTTGATGCCGTTCCTTGGAACCGAGGACAAATGAGAACAGTAGTGCTCTCCGTCTAACAGTTCTCCAACTTCTTGCATGACATTTGCTGGATTGTCCCTGTATGCAAGACAATGAGTTCTTCTACGGTTCTACCATTCTTTGCTAGGTACCTGCTTGGCCAAGTCTGTCAGGAATCTAAGAGGGTGCTTAAATGCAAGGAGAGTTTCTTGGTGACTGGCTCACGGCCGAAGTGGCAGTATGCTGCGGTCTCCTGGTACTTTGGCTCGCGCAATGCCAAGGACTGCGCAATGGCACCAGGACGGCAGTCGAACTCAATCCTGAGATGAAAGCTTATCAAACATCTAAAAACTCTTACAGATCAGTTGCAGCAAGATGAGCAAACAAAGTTGAAAAGGTTCCGGAGTCACAAATCTTGAGAAGCATTCAAATTTGCTGAGATCCAAGGTCTAAGAGTCCAAGAGTCCAAGAATCTTAGAATATCTTAGAATATCCCCATAGACTCGTTCCAAAGTTCAGCAGTTTCAGTTTTAAGGGGCGGATTCTCTGCAGATCTCTGCGGAACCCCACCCCACTGTCCCAAACAAACATTCAGACAACCAAGGCGCTTCAAGATGCTGGTGATGTCGTTCACGGTGAGGCCGGTCTTCTCACTTCCATAGGTCTCCACGAAGAGAGACAATGGCTTGGCAACACCAATGGCATAAGAGAACTGCACAAGGCATCGTGCACTCAAGCCGCTGCTCACCACAGACTTTGCCATCTGTCGGCAAATGTAGGCTGCGGATCAGTCCGCCTTGGTAGCGTCCTTGCCAGAGAACGCACCACCACCACGAGCACCCCAGCCACCGTAGGTGTCGATGATGATCTTGCGGCCAGCGAGACCGGCATCACCCTAAGGGCTACCACACAGGCTGATGGCAGGCTGGCCATTCTTCAGCTTGATCTGCTCAAGAGTGCGCTTGATCACCTTCTCCTCAATCTCCTTTTTCATCTGCTCCATGCTTGGGGCAGTCATCTCAGCTCCCTTGTAGCCCTCGCACTCCTTGCTGCGCACAGCCTTCAGAGGCTCAGCGTGCTGAGTGGAAATCACCACGGTGTGGATCTTCTTTGGCTCAACGGAGCCATCAGGGTGCTGCAGGTACTCAATGGTCACCTGGGTCTTGCCATCTGGGCGCAACCACCAGCACTCACCGCTCTTGCGAACATCAGTCAGGGTCTTGCCCCAACGCGTGGCCATGGAGTGGGTCAAAGGCATGCAGTCAGATGTCTCATCACTGGCATATCCAAGCATGATGCCCTGGTCACCGGCACCTACGTCCAAGTCCTCCTTGTTCACATGGCGCCGGCGGCAATGTCAGGGCTCTGCTTGTTGATGCGCGCCAGCACTTCGCAGCTCTTGTGGCTCAATCCCTTGCTGTCCACGCTGGACCAGTCATCCACAAAGCTGTCAAAACCGATCTGTGCCACAACTCCTCGCACAACCTTGTCATAGTCCAACTTGGCCTCAGTGGTGATCTCACCTGCCACCATGACCATGTTATCCTTGGTTGCAGTCTCGCAAGCCACCTTGCTCTTGGGGTCCACCTTGAGGCATGCATCCAGCACTGCATCGGACACCTGGTCGCAGATCTTGTCAGGATGGCCCTCGTTGACAGACTCGGAAGAGAAGAGGAAAGTGCGGCTGGTGCGGGCCTTCTTCTGCGCAGGCTCGGCCATGGCTACAATAGAGGATTGAGAGGGGCGAACCGGCAAGGGAAGCGATTAAACTCTGGATCTGCAAACGAACATCTGGGGCTAATGCATCTGGGGCTTCTGAGGTGTGATTTATCTGCTGCGATCACGAGTCTTCCTCACACATTCTTACAAGGATCAAGGAGCCTTTCGAAATTCTCTAGGATGCTCATCGGGCAAATGAATGTCACAACCAGAACTAACACGCTTTGCATGAGGACCGTCAGAAAAAAAGCAAGGACGCTGTCTGACTTGAAGCCATTTCAGGTTTGGATCCGTCCCTGATAATGCATGTGTTCATCTGTTTTCCGCTTTTGGCAGTCAGAGAGAAGCAAGTTCTCCAAATGTGCCCCTTTCGCGCCGGTGATTGTGGATCACCAGCGGATCAAAGGCCCAACTGGGATGTGCCTCCCTAGATTCCTTTCTGCTTTTTTTCTGCGTTGTCATGGAGCCCCCATAATCAAAGGATCAAAAGCAAGGCAATGTAAAAATCATGTGCAAAATAGTGCAAAATCCAAAAGAAAAACTTACCAGCGCATCAGGCTCCTTTCAATACTATACACAAGTCTTGCAAAAGACCGGGAAAATCCAGAGTTTGGAATTGCTTCCCACTCAGTCAACCCACTTAGCGAGGTAGGTGCTGGCCTTCAAGGCAGCTTCAACCTGGGTGGTGTCCATGGACTTGTACTTGGCCAGGTCCTGCTTCAAACATGCGCTTCTGACAGGGCCAGGGTTGCTTATGCAAGCTCCAGATACCTTCGACAGAACAGTGAAGAACACAAGTTTTTGACCTAAGGGAAGGTTCGTGACATCCAAAGACTTTCACAAACTGTGCTTACATTCTTTCTACCTTTTTCTTCCATTTTATTCATGTTATTCCTCTCTAGTCCTTTGCGTTCTCCCACTCGAAGTACTTGATGCCGTTCCTTGGAACCGAGGACAAATGAGAACAGTAGTGCTCTCCGTCTAACAGTTCTCCAACTTCTTGCATGACATTTGCTGGATTGTCCCTGTATGCAAGACAATGAGTTCTTCTACGGTTCTACCATTCTTTGCTAGGTACCTGCTTGGCCAAGTCTGTCAGGAATCTAAGAGGGTGCTTAAATGCAAGGAGAGTTTCTTGGTGACTGGCTCACGGCCGAAGTGGCAGTATGCTGCGGTCTCCTGGTACTTTGGCTCGCGCAATGCCAAGGACTGCGCAATGGCACCAGGACGGCAGTCGAACTCAATCCTGAGATGAAAGCTTATCAAACATCTAAAAACTCTTACAGATCAGTTGCAGCAAGATGAGCAAACAAAGTTGAAAAGGTTCCGGAGTCACAAATCTTGAGAAGCATTCAAATTTGCTGAGATCCAAGGTCTAAGAGTCCAAAACTCTTAGAAGATCTTAGAATAAGAAAATCTTAGAATATCTTAGAATATCCCATAGACTCGTTCCAAAGTTCAGCAGTTTCACTCCCAACGGGCGGATTCTCTGTGGATCTCTGCGCAACTCTATCTTTGGACTGTCTTGGACTTGGACTGTCTCAAACAAACATTCAGACAACCAAGGCGCTTCAAGATGCTGGTGATGTCGTTCACGGTGAGGCCGGTCTTCTCACTTCCATAGGTCTCCACGAAGAGAGACAATGGCTTGGCAACACCAATGGCATAAGAGAGCTGCACAAGGCATCGTGCACTCAAGCCGCTGCTCACCACAGACTTTGCCATCTGTCGGCAAATGTAGGCTGCGGATCGGTCCACCTTGGTAGGGTCCTTGCCGGAGAACGCACCACCACCATGAGCACCCCAGCCACCGTAGGTGTCGATGATGATCTTGCGGCCAGTGAGACCGGCATCACCCTGAGGACCACCAATGATGAACTTGCCAGAAGGATTGATGTGCAAGTGAGTGTGGCTGCCGTACAGGCTGATGGCAGGCTGGCCATTCTTCAGCTTGATCTGCTCAAGAGTGCGCTTGATCACCTTCTCCTCAATCTCCTTGTTCATCTGCTCCATGCTTGGGGCAGTCATCTCAGCTCCCTTGTAGCCCTCGCACTCCTTGCTGCGCACGGCCTTCAGAGGCTCAGCGTGCTGAGTGGAAATCACCACGGTGTGGATCTTCTTTGGCTCAACGGAGCCATCAGGGTGCTGCAGGTACTCAATGGTCACCTGGGTCTTGCCATCTGGGCGCAACCACCAGCACTCACCGCTCTTGCGAACATCAGTCAGGGTCTTGCCCAAACGCGTGGCCATGGAGTGGGTCAAAGGCATGCAGTCAGATGTCTCATCGCTGGCATATCCAAACATGATGCCCTGGTCACCGGCACCCACGTCCAAGTCCTCCTTGTTCACATGGACGCCGCCGGCAATGTCAGGGCTCTGCTTGTTGATGCGCACCAGCACTTCGCAGCTCTTGTGGCTCAATCCCTTGCTGTCCACGCTGGACAGGTCATCCACAAAGCTGTCAAAACCGATCTGTGCCACGACTCCTCGCACAACCTTGTCATAGTCCAACTTGGCCTCAGTGGTGATCTCACCTGCCACCATGACCATGTTGTCCTTGGTTGCAGTCTCGCAAGCCACCTTGCTCTTGGGGTCCACCTTGAGGCATGCATCCAGCACTGCATCGGACACCTGGTCGCAGATCTTGTCAGGATGGCCCTCGTTGACAGACTCGGAAGAGAAGAGGAAAGTGCGGCTGGTGCGGGCCTTCTTCTGCGCAGGCTCGGCCATGGCTACAATAGAGGATTGAGAGGGGCGAACCGGCAAGGGAAGCGATTAAACTCTGGATCTGCAAACGAACATCTGGGGCTAATGCATCTGGGGCTTCTGAGGTGTGATTTATCTGCTGCGATCACGAGTCTTCCTCACACATTCTTACAAGGATCAAGGAGCCTTTCGAAATTCTCTAGGATGCTCATCGGGCAAATGAATGTCACAACCAGAACCAACACGCTTTGCATGAGGACCGTCAGGAAAAACAAGGACGCTGTCTGACTGTTTGGATCCGTCCCCGATAATGCATGTGTTCATCCATCTGTTTTCCGCTTTTGGCAGTCAGAGAGAAGCAAGTTCTCCAAATGTGCCCCTTTCGCGCCGGTGATTGTGGATCACCAGCGGATCAAAGGCCCAACTGGGATGTGCCTTCCTAGATTCCTTTCTGCTTTTTTTCTGCGTTGTCATGGAGCCCCCATAATCAAAGGATCAAAAGCAAGGCAATGTAAAAATCATGTGCAAAATAGTGCAAAATCCAAAAGAAACAACTTACCAGCGCATCAGGCTCCTTTCAATACTATACACAAGTCTTGCAAAAGACCGGGAAAATCCAGAGTTTGGAATTGCTTCCCACTCAGTCAACCCACTTAGCGAGGTAGGTGCTGGCCTTCAAGGCAGCTTCAACCTGGGTGGTGTCCATGGACTTGTACTTGGCCAGGTCCTGCTTCAAACATGCGCTTCTGACAGGGCCAGGGTTGCTTATGCAAGCTCCAGATACCTTCTTCGACAGAACAAGCAGTGAAGAACACAAGTTTTTGACCTAAGGGAAGGTTCGTGACATCCAAAGACTTTCACAAACTGTGCTTACATTCTTTCTACCTTTTTCTTCCATTTTATTCATGTTATTCCTCTCCAGTCCTTTGCGTTCTCCCACTCGAAGTACTTGATGCCGTTCCTTGGAACCGAGGACAAATGAGAACAGTAGTGCTCTCCGTCTAACAGTTCTCCAACTTCTTGCATGACATTTGCTGCATTGTCCCTGTATGCAAGACAATGAGTTCTTCTACGGTTCTACCATTCTTTGCTAGGTACCTGCTTGGCCAAGTCTGTCAGGAATCTAAGAGGGTGCTTAAATGCAAGGAGAGTTTCTTGGTGACTGGCTCACGGCCGAAGTGGCAGTATGCTGCGGTCTCCTGGTACTTTGGCTCGCGCAATGCCAAGGACTGAGCAATGGCACCAGGACGGCAGTCGAACTCAATCCTGAGATGAAAGCTTATCAAACATCTAAAAACTCTTACAGATCAGTTGCAGCAAGATGAGCAAACAAAGTTGAAAAAGTTCCGGAGTCACAAATCTTGAAAAGCATTCAAATTTGCTGAGATCCAAGATCTAAGAGTCCAAAACTCTTAGAAGATCTTAGAATATCTTAGAAAATCTTTAGAATATCTTAGAATATCACCATAGACTCGTTCCAAAGTTCAGTAGTTTCACTCCCAACGGGCGGATTCTCTGTGGATCTCTGCGCAACTCTATCTTTGGACTGTCTTGGACTTGGACTGTCTCAAACAAACATTCAGACAACCAAGGCGCTTCAAGATGCTGGTGATGTCGTTCACGGTGAGGCCGGTCTTCTCACTTCCATAGGTCTCCACGAAGAGAGACAATGGCTTGGCAACACCAATGGCATAAGAGAGCTGCACAAGGCATCGTGCACTCAAGCCGCTGCTCACCACAGACCTTGCCATCTGTCGGCAAATGTAGGCTGCGGATCGGTCCACCTTGGTAGGGTCCTTGCCGGAGAACGCACCACCACCATGAGCACCCCAGCCACCGTAGGTGTCGATGATGATCTTGCGGCCAGTGAGACCGGCATCACCCTGAGGACCACCAATGATGAACTTGCCAGAAGGATTGATGTGCAAGTGAGTGTGGCTGCCGTACAGGCTGATGGCAGGCTGGCCATTCTTCAGCTTGATCTGCTCAAGAGTGCGCTTGATCACCTTCTCCTCAATCTCCTTGTTCATCTGCTCCATGCTTGGGGCAGTCATCTCAGCTCCCTTGTAGCCCTCGCACTCCTTGCTGCGTACGGCCTTCAGAGGCTCAGCGTGCTGAGTGGAAATCACCACGGTGTGGATCTTCTTTGGCTCAACGGAGCCATCAGGGTGCTGCAGGTACTCAATGGTCACCTGGGTCTTGCCATCTGGGCGCAACCACCAGCACTCACCGCTCTTGCGAACATCAGTCAGGGTCTTGCCCAAACGCGTGGCCATGGAGTGGGTCAAAGGCATGCAGTCAGATGTTTCATCGCTGGCATATCCAAACATGATGCCCTGGTCACCGGCACCCACGTCCAAGTCCTCCTTGTTCACATGGACGCCACCGGCAATGTCAGGGCTCTGCTTGTTGATGCGCACCAGCACTTCGCAGCTCTTGTGGCTCAATCCCTTGCTGTCCACGCTGGACAGGTCATCCACAAAGCTGTCAAAACCGATCTGTGCCACGACTCCTCGCACAACCTTGTCATAGTCCAACTTGGCCTCAGTGGTGATCTCACCTGCCACCATGACCATGTTGTCCTTGGTTGCAGTCTCGCAAGCCACCTTGCTCTTGGGGTCCACCTTGAGGCATGCATCCAGCACTGCATCGGACACCTGGTCGCAGATCTTGTCAGGATGGCCCTCGTTGACAGACTCGGAAGAGAAGAGGAAAGTGCGGCTGGTGCGGGCCTTCTTCTGCGCAGGCTCGGCCATGGCTACAATAGAGGATTGAGAGGGGCGAACCGGCAAGGGAAGCGATTAAACTCTGGATCTGCAGACGAACATCTGGGGCTAATGCATCTGGGGCTTCTGAGGTGTGATTTATCTCCTTTCGAAATTCTCTAGGATGCTCATCGGGCGAATGAATGTCACAACCAGAACTAACACGCTTTGCATGAGGACCGTCAGGAAAAACAAGGATGCTGTCTGACTTGAAGCCATTTCATGTTTGGATCCCTCCCCGATAATGCATGTGTTCATCCATCTGTTTTCCGCTTTTGGCAGTCAGAGAGAAGCAAGTTCTCCAAATGTGCCCCTTTCGCGCCGGTGATTGTGGATCACCAGTGGATCAAAGGCCCAACTGGGATGTGCCTTCCTAGATTCCTTTCTGCTTTTTTTCTGCGTTGTCATGGAGCCCCCATAATCAAAGAATCAAAAGCAAGGCAATGTAAAAATCATGTGCAAAATAGTGCAAAATCCAAAAGAAACAACTTACCAGCGCATCAGGCTCCTTTCAATACTATACACAAGTCTTGCAAAAGACCGGGAAAATCCAGAGTTTGGAATTGCTTCCCACTCAGTCAACCCACTTAGCGAGGTAGGTGCTGGCCTTCAAGGCAGCTTCAACCTGGGTGGTGTCCATGGACTTGTACTTGGCCAGGTCCTGCTTAAAACATGCGCTTCTGACAGGGCCAGGGTTGCTTATGCAAGCTCCAGATACCTTCTGGGACAGAACAAGCAGTGAAGAACACAAGTTTTTGACCTAAGGGAAGGTTCGTGACATCCAAAGACTTTCACAAACTGTGCTTACATTCTTTCTACCTTTTTCTTCCATTTTATTCATGTTATTCCTCTCCAGTCCTTTGCGTTCTCCCACTCGAAGTACTTGATGCCGTTCCTTGGAACCGAGGACAAATGAGAACAGTAGTGCTCTCCGTCTAACAGTTCTCCAACTTCTTGCATGATATTTGCTGGATTGTCCCTGTATGTTCTTGTTCTGCCAGTGGATTCTCTGCACGACAATGAGTTCTTCTACGGTTCTACCATTCTTTGCTAGGTACCTGCTTGGCCAAGTCTGTCAGGAATCTAAGAGGGTGCTTAAATGCAAGGAGAGTGTCTTGGTGACTGGCTGACGGCCGAAGTGGCAGTATGCTGCGGTCTCCTGGTACTTTGGCTCGCGCAATGCCAAGGACTGCGCAATGGCACCAGGACGGCAGTCGAACTCAATCCTGAGATGAAAGCTTATCAAACACCTACTGTAGACCTAAAAACTCTTACAGATCAGTTGCAGCAAGATGAGCAAACAAAGTTGAAAAAGTTCCGGAGTCACAAATCTTGAAAAGCATGCAAATTTGCTGAGATCCAAGATCTAAGAGTCCAAGACTCTTAGAATATCTTGGAATATCTTCGAAGATCTTAGAGAAGATCTTAGAAGATCTTAGAATATCTTAAGAATATCTTAGAATATCCCCATAGACTCGTTCGAAAGTTCTGCAGTTTCAGTCCCAACGGGCGGATTCTCTGCGGATCTCTGTGCAACTCTATCTCTGGACTGTCTTGGACTTGGACTGTTCCAAACAAACATTCAGACAACCAAGGCGCTTCAAGATGCTGGTGATGTCGTTCACGGTGAGGCCGGTCTTCTCACTTCCATAGGTCTCCACGAAGAGAGACAATGGCTTGGCAACACCAATGGCATAAGAGAGCTGCACAAGGCATCGTGCACTCAAGCCGCTGCTCACCACAGACTTTGCCATCTGTCGGCAAATGTAGGCTGCGGATCGGTCCACCTTGGTAGGGTCCTTGCCGGAGAACGCACCACCACGTGTGTAGTAGTTTATGAAGCAGCCCACAGAAGCAAAGCCACGGGGCACACTCCAACATTCTTGCTCAAGCATCGGGAGATTGGTCGTGAACCAGTCTCCATTGAATAGCAGCGGCTCTTCTGTCAGCAAGATAAAGCAAGGTATTGACACCTCCACGTTCATCTTGTACACAGGGCCAGCCCAATCGGGCAAGCAGAGGATCCCGCGGGCAGCCACCTAAGGATGCAACATCACTCTCGATATCTGGACAGTTCCAACACCAATGCATGAAATCAAGCTCAGATTGGCATGAGGGACAAGTACCCATGCGAACAGGATATTTGCGGCCCCGATCATTCTTCACAAGTCTATACGGAGATACAAAGCCTCCAGCCATAATTGCAAAAGTATGTGCAGAATCAAAAGCATGCTGCCTTGCAAGAGCACACCTCTCAGTTTGATAAACAGGAGGGTGCAGAGAGTCCCTGCAAAACTTGGCATCCACCCTATTGGTGCGCTGCCATTTACTGAAAAGCATGTGACGCCATGATTCTCTCAAGCAGTGTTTCAACTGATCCAGTTGCGCAATCGCACGTTGGGGCCGTGGATTCACAAAACTTATCTTTTCATAAAGAAACATGTTGTCAAAGACACCTATTACTGCAGTTGGCTTCCAGTTGAGCCAACCTGCATATTCTTTGATCAAGTTGCCCATGGACGTCACTGGGCTATTCCACTGAGGAACCAAGGCACTGGAATGGCAAGAGCGCCACAAGTGCGCAATTTGATCTGAGGCAATACGGAATTGCAGATCAACAGAATGCCCACGCAGGATACGAGCCAAGTTCGGATCAGCACTTTCATGTTTCCACGTACAGCGCTTAACTGCACGTTCAAAAGGTTTCAGGTCATCAACAGCTGGTCTTTTTGCAAACCAGCCAAAGGCAGCCTGCGGGAGGGCAGTGGCTGCTACATATTGCAATTTTTCACGGGGGTGCAGTGGAAGACACGCACAACGGTCGGCAGTTTTCCTAGCTTTTTCTAAGCGTTTCATTTCCTGCTGAGTTAGTGACCGCTTCTGGGTCCCAATCAAACATGCGCCAAGAATCTGAGGAGAAGCAGAAATTTTTTGGGCATCAATTTCAGCCATCAAAAACTCTCGGCGACCGCTTTCAGTTCTGTGATAGTATTGTGTCTTGCTTTCATTTTCTCGCAAACCTAGGATGCGACTCCATCGTTTCCAGACAGTCTCCGCTCGCAGACACTCAGGCAAAGTGGGCGCAGTGACCGTGCGGTCATCGACAAAAGAGTAATTCCGAGTGTTAGGGCATTCACTCCGGATCGCATGCAACGGGGCTAACAAAAGAGCCGTCATGGCAGCCATTGCCCAGGGATCTCCCTGGGGCAAGGAGTGTTGGACTGCAACCGCTCGATCCAAGCATTCATTACCATATTGCAGTAATCTTCGCTGATTCAGCCAAACTGAGCTTAAAACCCGGAGCCAACTTTTGGGCATGCCTTTATGCTGAAAGACATGCAAAACTAATGCAGGGTCAGTCATGTCAAATGCCAAGGAATAGTCAAAGGCCGCAAGGAAGCGATCATTCTCAGCATCAAGCAAAATATGGTGTAATGCCTGTGCAATAGAAACGCGTTTTCGTCCACCAAAAGCCTCTCTGGGCCACCAAGAGGCAACCCATCTTTGAGTTTCAACAGAGTTCCACCTGGCAGAAGCAAATATGCGAAACCAAACAGAAAGAACACTAATGGGGCGGAGCGAGGCCACATCAACAGCATTGTCAGAGTCGCGTCGACCCTTACCAGGCTTCGGTATGTGAACCTGTTTGATATTACTCCACTCAGAGGGTACATACCCACTAGTCTCAAAACAATGAAAAAGAGTCGCTACATCCTGCCACACAACAAGAGGCAAATATGCAACTTCTGTTCCACTGAAACCATCAAGGCCAGCACTTTTGCCTTTTTGAGATCGGGCAGTATCAAAAAGCATCTCAGGACTGAGAGGTTCCCATTGCGCACTTGGCACAACAGGGCCAAGATGGGGTTGCAGGGCAGCAACCGTTTCATCATAGTGCGGGCAAGTCCGATTCCAGATACTTGACCAGTAGGCTTTAAGCAATTGCAAACATTGTTGCATGGTTTGGGCAGGCTGTGCCCCATTGTGCAAGTTCATAGCAAGTGGCTCCTGTGTACCACGAAGCCAGCGATAGGAACGCTGCTGACTTGATCGCAGTTCGTGTTTCCAAGATTGGATACGTTCTTGTTTTGCAAGAGTCTGCTGTTTTTCGATTAAGGACAAAACGAGTGCAACATGATTATCAATATGATCAGGTGACAAGTGAACTATTCGCCGACATTTTGTCATCAAAGTTTCAAAGTCAGGGTGGGAATTGCCAAGGGCAGTGACACGCTGGATTTCCCTCAGACGCGCAAGCACTCTACGGAGCTGGCGAATGCGTAACTCAGGCAAATGCTTTTCGGCATGTTTTGAGCAATGTTTAGCAACCGTAACCAACTTAGCGGGAGAGCCCTTGGGGCGAGTTTTGGATGGAGGCAACTCATGAGGCGGAAAAGCATGTGAAACATTACCATGATTTGCAGCGGATGTGGCCTGCTGCATGCATCGTTCAATGATAGTCAAAAAGGAAAGCCACACTGCATCACATTGCTGCTGGCTATCTATTTGACCAGAAAAGTTCCATTGCTGCTGTTGCCATGCCACAGTAAGGAACTGGCTCCAAGCATCAGGACCTACATTGTTAGGGGGGGCATACTTAATAGTGGGTTGCAATACAGTTTGCGGCTGCTGCCGGAAATTACTAGGCAAACTCACTTGCAGAAGTCTGTGGTCAGACAGCGCTTCCGGAAGAAGTGAAAGCTGAACGTTGGCATGACCAAGATTGCAGATAGCATAATCAATGACATATCGACCTTCCCATCTAGTAGGCTCACTGGGGGCCACTTCATGTCCATTATACATTTCCAGTGTGCAGACCATCGGGTTCTCATGGGGTTCACAATTCCAATCTCCTATGGCTACAAACTGTGCTTGAGAAGCAATACTGCGAAAACTCGCATGCAGTTCTTCATAGAAGGATGTACGATCTTCATGGTGGGCAACATAAACATTGATGACCAAAGTTCCAGTCACCCAGCAGGCCACAGCTTGGCCTCCATTTCCACTAATGGCGAAAGCATGTGCATGTGGCACTGATCTTTTTATAAGGGTAATGACACCACCATGGGTGCGTTCCCCTCGTCGGTGCACTGGCAATGTGGGCCCAGCGATGTGCAAGGTGACATACCCTAAGTTCCAAGCATGCCGTTTGAAGGCCAAGACTTCATTTGGGAACATGCGGACTTCCTGCATGGTGACAATCGGGATCTGTTTGTCAGCAGCCAAGGAAAGGAGTTCCCAGGCCGCAGTACCAGCACGAGTGTTCAAGTTCCAAATAGAGAAACAGGGCTGGTGGGCATGTTTGCGTTGACCACGGATTCGTGGTCCAGGTTTGGATTCAATATCTCCACATGCAAGTAAATCAGGCATCCAACCACCGGAGTGGTGCACACAAATAAGAATGAAAAGTACAGTCAGAAAAGGGAGGGGCATGGCACGATATGTACCATCCCGCATGATTTTTCAATTCTTTTGGGACGTAGCAGGTCGCTTGCATTTGGCTGTGATGGCATCCACAGTAGTAGACCAGGCCTTAGCAATCGCATCAGTATTCTTCTTACTGGATTCCAAAAGACGCATCCACCATGTACGTGTGGCGACGTGGAAGACATCCGGCGGCTTACCAGTGCAGGGGACTTTGACAAGGCCATTCATTTTCCCACTGCGCCAGCACTTGGTGCATGTAAGGAATGACCCATCACGCGGCGCGGTAGGCTTTCGCCTCCGGCCCAAGGCATCTCGATTGGGACTTATGCGGCGTGGCCACTCATTCCAATCAACCGTCAGGGGGATGATGGCATGACCTTTACATTTATCTTTGCGGCGAGCTTGGTGTGTCTGGATGATTTTGACATTTGCACGTTTGCGCCAAGCCATCAAGACTGGGTCTTTGGCTTTCCATCGTGCAGATTGTATTTTTCGTAAGTTACGGCGAGGATGCTTATCCTTGCAATGCTGCTTGACTGCGTCAGTGAGTGCATGACGTTCAAGGACAGGCAGCACGGCTGGGCACCAAGGGCAATGCCAACCAATGGCGTGAGCTGGGCACCAAGGGAACGATTTTGCAGAACCTCCTCGTGGTGTTCCCGGGCCTTGGCGAATCTGCAACGGATGAATGCAATGTGGCTGTTGTTCCTATTGATGTTTTTCATTCCAGGAGCTGAAGCCATTCATACTGATGTCATTGACGAAAGTCCATTCAACTTGCTGACAAATGAGAAATTACCCTGTGACCTGGGCTTCAAATGTGCTGTGTTTGCATTGATCAATGTGATCATTTGTGCTGTGGCTGGTTTGCGTGGTCGTTCACGGAATTTTCCACACACTGGTTTACAGGTCTATGCATGGATGTGCCAAGTTTCTGCCATTGTCTGGTCAGCTGCCCGTTTTCTTGCCCTGGCATTTGGATGCCTGCACCTCATGATGTCCGGTTGTTCGTGTTGGCAGCTTGCTGTCATTTTTGTGCTGGTTGATGTTGCTGACATCATGCATTGGTGTTGTATGAATGTTGTTCAGTTTCTGGCCTACCCAGCTGCTAAGTCGAAAAGAATCTATCGCTGTAGATGGATTGGTTCCCGTCGCTTTCGTTATCGTCGAATGCCTAAGCAGCGAGTACGTTGGGTTGTGACTCGCCTATGTGTTTGGCTGATGCAAAGCGCAATCCTTTTTGCCAAAGCTCAATGCCATGCCTGTCATGATCATATGCCTATGAACAGAGATAAGGTACCTGCAAAAGCGTTTCGCGGAGGAGGAGGATCTGGTGGATCCCAAACAACAGCAAACCGCCGACAAGAGCAGATCTTGTTGAAAGGGTTGCAGGACTTGTTGAAACAGGTACATAGCCCCCAGGCTGACCAACCCAAAAGCGAAAAACGCAGTCCGAAAGCTGAACTGCAAAAACAACCTGAAGATTATGGCCTAGTCCAAGCTTTGGAAACTTTGACAAGCCGCGCCAAGAAGCAGCCCAAGGGGTTAATCGATCGTCTTCAGACATTGATTGATGTGGCCAATCGTGGGTTACTCAAAGGTCCCAGTAATCCGAAACCCAAACAGCAAAAAGCTGCTAAGTCCAAGCCTGAACGGACGAATTCGAAGAAGCCTTCTATGCCGACACCAGCGACTTCCCAAAAGACCAATCGCTGGAGCCGAAGCAAGGAATGGCATGTGCGTGCTCATGATTGGGGAGTCAAAGAGGTTTGTCGTGGTAGTGAAAAGCTATGCGCAATTTTGGATGACCTCATGACCCCTGATTCCGCTGAAGCCCTGCTGTGTCAAGTGAGTACTCTTGATGAATGGCATGAAGCTCTTGCCATTGCTAGTGGTGCCTCTCTAAAAAATTTTGCATTGGTTTTTCAGACCACTGATGACCTCGATTTAGGCAATCTCCGCTTCAAGGGCTGGACCCTTGAAAAGATGCTTTGCCCAGGCCTTGCAAATCAGCGCCTCGTCCAGAAGACTTGCTGGCTTGCACGAGCATCCATGCTTGCGCCCCGCCTGAATCAGTGCCAGACTGTCACAACAGTCAAGCGACCGTTTGTGTCAAAACCGAAAGTTGATGATTCCTATGTGCTTAAGATTTCCTGTGATCTTCGTTTCCAACCTGAAGGTTCTCACAAAACTATCATGTCAGGTCCAGGTCAATGTTTTAGAATGTGGATGAACGAACTTGATGGCACCTCGCGTGATCTCGTTTTGAATATTGGTGATACGTGGGGATTTCATGAGGTCCCCCGGGAACATCTTGTGTGTGGTCTTGTCCGGGTGCGGGGTAAAGACCGAGCCATGAAACTGTTGGCTGCCAGTGGCCGCTACATGCGCGGCCAAGTGTGGTGGGCTGATGCTTTTCGCTGGGACTCTTTCACTGACCATCCCCCCAGAACTGTTTGGCATGACAAACGTTTAGATGAGACCGAACTCCAATTTGTCCGTCGCATGGCCAGTGATGCTGGTCAGTTTGGAATGGTTCGAGGCCGAGTCCAAATTGGTTTGCGCTTACCTCCTTCTGATGAAAGACTTGGACCAAGAGTTGCTACTTGGAGAGTTGGAGTAGTTCCCCGATCATGGGAGCTTGAGCATGTTACTGATACAATGCAGCAACTGGGTTTCTCTGATATTTAGATGCTTTCGAAAAACCGTCAACGAAATGGAGCTACTTGGATCTTCAAAGCAGTGCGCTCTGATGATCGCGACCAACTTCAACTTCATTTTAATGCTGAAAATGATGAACCTGCCCTTGATTTGTTTATTGTTAAGCAATCCAAGGTACGCAAGCCTGGCACTGTTGTGCCGCTGAAGCAAGAACGCGACATTTCGTTTGCTCCTGCTGATTTTCTGACCAAAGGAAAAGGAAAAGGGAAAAGTAAAGGTCAGAATGCAAAAGGGAAATCCAAAGGTCCCTCCAATGGACCAACCCCAATCACTGCTGCAAGTCAGAATGCACAAACGCCTCCTCATTCTGATGATGAAGAGTTGCCGCCTGTGCCATCTGATGATGACATGGAGGATAATGTTCCGACCCATGGCCTCAAGCGAAAAGATGCTGAGAAATCCGACAAAGGAGCAAAGTTATCTCCTGTTACCAAAAAATCCAAGCCATGTCTGCCACCTGGAGCTCGCAGAGTGCCCAATCCAGGTGGAGGAAACTGTTTATATCATGCGTTGGCGCAAGCTGAATCCAAACCTGGTAAGCTCCGATCTCATCGCCAACTCCGTGCATTTTTGCACGCGTACCTGACGAAGCACTGTGCCAAATTTTCTCCATTTTGGGATCAGCGTGGTCCTGATGATCAGCTTTTTGCTGGAAGCTGGGAAGAATATTTGGAAACCATGTCCAAAGACAAGTCTTGGGGAGGATACATGGACATAGGTGCCTATTCGGAAGCCACTGATCGTCCTTGCTTGGTCCTTCACCCTAAAGATGAAATGGTCCACTGTTTCAACTCTCAAGCTTCTGGAGAAGCTGTCTGTTTGGTTTATGAATCCCAGCACTATGAGTTGCTTTTATGTGGTGATGATGAACTGCGCGAAATCTGGCAGCGCGCAGAGGATGGATGTTATTCTGGTTATCGTGGTGCTGCAAAGTCCAAAGCCAGTTTGAAGCTCTCTGATTTTGCCTCTGAGAAATCATTGAAATTGTCCGACTATGCTTCTTGTAAGACTGGCCGACCTGGTCGTGTACTTTCCAACAAGTTTGTGAAATCAAGAAAGGGGATGTCAAAATCCTCTATTGCCGATGCTCAGTCCTCTGGAAGTTGCGCAGCGCGCCGAGTCACTTCTGATCAACCTGCAGAGCAACCAGCCATGGACTCCCATAGCTGGACCTGTCCTTTGTGTAATGTTACTGTTTCTGCGGTAGGGCCGAAAAAGGCCATTTACACTGCGCGATATAACGACCTGCGATACCGCCACAAGGGGGTGCCCTCTCGCTCTGTGATTGGCACGCGCACTGTTGCACCCGTTTGTCAAGAACGCACCACCACCATGAGCACCCCAGCCACCGTAGGTGTCGATGATGATCTTGCGGCCAGTGAGACTGGCATCACCCTGAGGACCACCAATGATGAACTTGCCAGAAGGATTGATGTGCAAGTGAGTGTGGCTGCCGTACAGGCTGATGGCAGGCTGGCCATTCTTCAGCTTGATCTGCTCAAGAGTGCGCTTGATCACCTTCTCCTCAATCTCCTTGTTCATCTGCTCCATGCTTGGGGCAGTCATCTCAGCTCCCTTGTAGCCCTCGCACTCCTTGCTGCGCACGGCCTTCAGAGGCTCAGCGTGCTGAGTGGAAATCACCACGGTGTGGATCTTCTTTGGCTCAACGGAGCCATCAGGGTGCTGCAGGTACTCAATGGTCACCTGGGTCTTGCCATCTGGGCGCAACCACCAGCACTCACCGCTCTTGCGAACATCAGTCAGGGTCTTGCCCAAACGCGTGGCCATGGAGTGGGTCAAAGGCATGCAGTCAGATGTCTCATCGCTGGCATATCCAAACATGATGCCCTGGTCACCGGCACCCACGTCCAAGTCCTCCTTGTTCACATGGACGCCGCCGGCAATGTCAGGGCTCTGCTTGTTGATGCGCACCAGCACTTCGCAGCTCTTGTGGCTCAATCCCTTGCTGTCCACGCTGGACAGGTCATCCACAAAGCTGTCAAAACCGATCTGTGCCACGACTCCTCGCACAACCTTGTCATAGTCCAACTTGGCCTCAGTGGTGATCTCACCTGCCACCATGACCATGTTGTCCTTGGTTGCAGTCTCGCAAGCCACCTTGCTCTTGGGGTCCACCTTGAGGCATGCATCCAGCACTGCATCGGACACCTGGTCGCAGATCTTGTCAGGATGGCCCTCGTTGACAGACTCGGAAGAGAAGAGGAAAGTGCGGCTGGTGCGGGCCTTCTTCTGCGCAGGCTCGGCCATGGCTACAATAGAGGATTGAGAGGGGCGAACCGGCAAGGGAAGCGATTTAAACTCTGGATCTGCCGAACAAATGAACGATTTCACCATCCAACTGGAAAATGCAAAAAGAAGCAAGGTGCTGCAGTTGAAGCGGACAAATTGGCCACTGCAGATTAAAAGGTGAAATATCCAAAACAATTAAAGCAGCATAAAACAACTAGACCAGGCTGACTGTGGTTGCTCAGTGGTTCGGATTCCCGCCCATCATTTTCCCGCTGCACAAGTGGTCACACTTTGGGCATGTCCTGGCCGCTCTTGCAGGGCTTCCAGGTTAATTTTATTTCCACTGTAGTGGGCAACATGATGATAGCACCAAATTCACGGCTACCCCTCCCAGCCTTGATGGAATCTACACATCTAACCCAAACCCCAAGTGCGAGTACTGTAGGTCCTCCAAACAGGAGGTCGGCCAGGACCTGCTAAACAATTGGATCACCTCATAGTTTTTCTCTTGGTTGTTGTCCCACTCTACCTCGCAGCAAGGCTGGGCAATTCGTTGCCAAGAGGGGCAAAAATGCGGCGACTTGATCAGTTCTGGGGTACTGAAGCAGAGAAGTTTGATGAAGTTTGGGTCGAGAATTCTGAACCATAACAATTTGGATATTGAGAACATTGAGAGCAAGTGTAATGTACACCTCTTTGCATATCCATGTTCCCTTTGGGAAAAAGCGCAGGGTTGCTTATCAAACTCCTGTCTATACATTATTTCAGCTCAAAATTTAGTTGTTCAACCCGTGAACTTTATGAAACTCAACTCAAACTTTAAAGAATTGGGCCACCATCTGTTTCAAACCACACACGTCGCCTTCGGATCCCGTACACAGAAAAGGAACAGTTAGAGTTGGAGTGACATCCTCGATTGATCTTGCTTCAAAGAATGACCTCCAAAAGTTTCTTACTTGCGATTGAGAAAAATTTGATCCACATTGTATCCCAACAAAGTGTCACCTCCTATTGCTCCCAAAAGACCAAAAGCTCCGGCTGTTGTAGTTAAGCGACCCCATTGGTCAACGCCAAGTGCATGGAAGCTGAACCCGGCAGCGCATATGCCTCAAGCTGGGACATCCACTTGCCTCCAAACGGGCTACCCCCAAGCACGAATTATCACATGTTTTCTCGAGCTTTCCCCATGAAAATATATAAACATGACACCATTTTCTGATATTTTCATATATTTTCTGTATACTAGTACACAGTATACAGATGTATACAGCATGCTGCCCCGCGAAAACAAAGTAATTCTGGGTCCCAGTGGCCAAGGCTGCCAGTATGGCACTGCCATTCTCCTCTTTGGCCAGGCCGGATGGCAGAAGATTGCAGCGTTGGATGTGTGAAGCTGAGAAAAGGAAATTGTTGGACGGGCGCATACCGAAATAGTTAAACACTGTGAGTTTCGTACATCCTCCATAAATATCATAAATAATCCTTATGAAACATTGATTGTTTGCATACTTCGCCAATGCCTTGGGATTGCCATCACGAGTGGTCCCTTGGTATCCAAAGTTTGGCTTCACGCAGCCCCGCCTGATATCTTTCCCGCACGGGCAGCGACAGCATCTCCTTGTGCACCAGGAGCTCAAACGCTCCGCCGGACGGCACAGGAGACGGCCTACTGCAGGAACAGAAAATGGGGCGTGGAAGAAGTCGAAGAAAATCAACAGCTGATTTCTGCAGGTCTACATCTCAAGGTGCCGTGAAAATCTTGATTTAGGTTGGGCAGTTCATCCCCAACACCCCAAAAAACAATCCAACAATCCAAACACAGAAATGATCAAGTTGGGAAGTCATCAAGTCATCAAGCGAAGTCATCCACAAGACTGCTCAATGAATCTGTTTACACCTGTCTCCACACTATTTACCTGTACAGTACAGTATATACTCTGTACTCTGTAACTCTATTTCTGTCACTTCCCATCTTCTGGTCGTGAACACCGATACCACAAGCCTGCAGCAACATGGCATTGAAGATATTGAAGTGAAGAAGGGCAAAAAAAAACGGAGAGCTGCCGCAGAGTTGCCGCAAGACAGGGGACGAGTGGTGTGGATCTCCCATCCAAACCGAGGCTACTCATTTCTTACCCTGACATTCTGTGTGTTCGCCAGGACATGCTCGAGGGACAATGCCTTCTTCCAGCATGTCCTGGCGAATACAGAATCTCAGTGTAAGAAATGGATAGAAAGTGAAACGGAGCCAAGGCCACAAACCTCCCCAGGTGACAGCTGGTGAGCAGCTCCGGAAACATTCAATAAGTCTGTTATGAGACAATGGCTTGGCAACACCAATGGCATAAGAGAGCTGCACAAACCATCGTGCACTCATCCCGCTGCTCACCACAGCACAGCATCTGTCGGCAAATGTAGGCTGCGGATCGGTCCACCTTGGTAGGGTCCTTGCCGGAGAACGCACCACCACCATGAGCACCCCACCGTAGGTGTCGATGATGATCTTGCGGCCAGTGAGACCGGCATCACCCTAAGGGCTACCGCACAGGCTGATGGCAGGCTGGCCATTCTTCAGCTTGATCTGCTCAAGAGTGCGCTTGATCACCTTCTCCTCAATCTCCTTTTTCATCTGCTCCATGCTTGGGGCAGACATCTCAGCTCCCTTGTAGCCCCCGCACTCCTTGCTGCGCACACCCCAAACTCGAATAGCAGTTGAGGCTGAGACAAGTTGAGCGAGGACTCTGGCACCTTTCTGCAGCCTGTCATGCTAGGCATATCTGCAAGGTTGGCAGCTCCGAAACTCAGGCTTCAAAATGCTTCAAATGGATTACATGGATTTAGAAAGAATTCAGCAGAGGTATGGCAGCATACAATGGTAATATTAGGTAATAATAATTAATAATAGTAATAATATTCGTACGTACAGTTACATACAGTTCCAGTTTTCAATTGTTTTCATACCGCGTCACACAATGCCTGAGTCACTGAGTAAATCCAGAAGTTTGCATTGCGCGGAAGGTGTTCCGACTCCAAATGCTTGGCCCGTCGGGCTGCAGCCTGGTACGTCCGAGGCCCAGCCCCGTTCCAAGCGCAACAAGGGCTCTGAAATGGCACGAATTGGCTATGAATCAAAACTCAGGTGCCCTGGTTTTCACATCTAAATAGCTAGGAAACTGCTGCTTGTTGATGTTCATCCCTTGATTCACTCGGAATTCAAAGGTGTCATTGGTTCTGTGTTGACCCATCCCGGAGTCAAAATTTAACCGATTGACTCTTGGCATCGCAGGCGCCTCCGCCATAGACACCGCCATGGTCTTTGGGCCCACCACTAGCATGACCGACTTCATTTGCCGCACATTGTCGTGAGGGCCTTGGTCTCAAGTAACTGATGCCTTTCTGATCGGTGAACTGATGGGGCCGCTTTGATATGGCAAAGGTGAGAGAAATTGAAGCAGATGATGATACAACTATGATGGAACATTAGCATTCAATGATATTCAAGGGACAATGGTCCTCCCAATCACTGCTGTATCATGATGTGTTGTTTTACATATAACGGCAGAATCTGACATCTGCCATCATTCTCCAGTGACGAGGCAAGTGACGTCGGCCGTGTGGTTTGAAGAGATCAAGGCGTTGCCGGTGCACTTCAACTTGGTCTTCAGCCATTTGGAATTTCGCCAGCTGGAAGAAGACACCAGACTGCACATGGCAGGTGTAAATGGTGAGATCACGTGGGGAAAACCTGTCTGTGAGCATCTTATGGTCTGGTTATATTGGTTATATTGGTTTATGAAAGCATGTGCTGAAATCTCGCACCAAGGATGTGTACAAAGAATGCTTTACCGACACGCAAAAAAGAACAGGCACCAAATCAGAGAGCTGAAGTCTCTCATCTCCCACCTCCTCTGTCTTTCCTTCTCAAGAACAGTCAGAAGCCACCCCACCTGCTATGGGAAGGCGATGAAAAGGACAGCCTTGAATTCTGACTCTGGATTGGGGGTTACTTTCCAACCTAAAAATGGGCGATTCTTAGGGTATAGGTTGGGGGGATGGCAAAGTTTGCATCAATCCGCCCACATGTATTACTGTATGACTATGTATGAGTATGGGTTCAAACTGGATGGTGCGCTACTAGAATTATCAAGTCCACGTATGGTTTCGAGGACCAATTGACCCATCCCGATGTGGTAAACATGGCGAATTGAGCCCCAAAGTCATACCATGATCATGAGAATCTGCAATTCCACCCCGGAATCCATCATGACTCTTCCATCTTCACATATTGCATGTTAACTTTTTCTCTGCTGCATGGATTTCCAGTTCAGATCAGTTCAGAGACAGACCCTGTTTCTTCTCGTTGACAACCGGTCGGAGTCATACTGAGAAGCATGAAATTACTTCGTCTGGCTTTGCCGAGCTCAAAGTCGCAACAAAATCAACAAATTGGAGTATACTGGGTTTTCAACTAAGACGTTGTCCATAAAATGGCCGTCCAATTATGCAGCCGATTACGTATTTTGATGCTTCATGACTTATGACAATTTACAGTAGTTACCATGAAAAAATCCGACGTTATAGTTGAACATTCAAACTCGGCATTTGCACGTCAAGTCAGCAAATCGATACGCTGCAGGAGTTTTTTCGCAGCGTGTACCGGTGTCGTGGCTGGTGTTTCATGATGTTTCTCAATCTTGTGTCACTGTTTTACAGCACAAGCCTGACTACAATCTAGGATACTCATGGATAATCTAGGCACTGGTGACAGAATCTTGTCTCACCATTGAACCAAGTCTCAGGACTCATGCACCACCCCAACCACTTCATACAGTAGACGTCACGCCAGCTTTGGACGCTTCCTCCCATTCACATATGGCAACGTAGTGCATTTCCTGAGGTTCGAACGTCTTCAAACGTTTGCCCTGCTGACAAAAGAGATTAATGAATAGTTCGAACATATTCAAACGTTAATACTGTCCACCCCTAGACGAGTCAGCCCTCAGTTTCTTAATTAGGTGGGTCCCCAAATGTGGTATAGTTGTGTATAATTAATAAATATTAATGATAAGATATGATAAGTGCAGTTATGAAGGGTGACTTGCGATATTATCGCATATTATTCATAAACTGCAGGGTTCCTATCTATCGGTTGCACTGCATCGCTGTTGCCGGTGCCTCGAAGCACTTCACTGCAGAGGCTTCTCCCTGCATAGACATTCGAAGTCACCAAGCAAAGTCATCCACAAAACTGCTTAATGAAACTGTTTACAGTACACGTGTCTCTACATTTATCATCTTTGTAACTCAATGTGTAAACAATTCAATGTACTGTGATTTCATATACCTTCTATATCGTATTCATCACAGAAACTGTACATTCCCATGTTCTGCTTGCAGACACCGATCCCAGATCACCGATCCCAGATCAAGCCTGCAGCAACAGGGCATCGAAACAAAGAAAGCCTCGAAAACGGAAAGTTGCGGCAAGTCATCGGAAGAGCACTGTAGTGTGCGAACGAACAAAAAAAAGTGAAATTTCCAGAAATATGTCTTTGACATAAACATATATAAACATTGGGCGGGGAAACAAAGTTTCTACGTGGGTTTTCCCTGAGAACTCTCATCTTTCTCTTGGACATGGTGTTGCCACAGCTTGATGCGTATCACTCTGGTAGACAATTGCAGCACTTACAGCCGTGGGTGAGTGTCGAGCTGGCACAACTGCAGAGCCGAGGCCAACCAGGAGTACGGCTCAACGCCACTTATCAATATGAAGCCTATGCTGGCTTTCATGTCATTCAGTTGCTCACAGACGGTGCTCCAATTCTGCTGTTTAGCGACCCAATGGCTATCCCTAAATTCTCACCGTGGGACCTATGTGCGGCGGGTAATCTAGGGAGCCAAATCTGCCGCAACAAGACCATTAATTTTGGCGTTAGTGTCCCATAGATGAACTGGTACCCAGGGGGTTTGCTAGCGATCCCTCCTGAGGCAAAACTGCCTAACTCCCAGCGGCTGCTCATGAGTCTGCAGAGATCTGGGTATCTGACCGCGACAACAGAGTGGTACGTAATCGGACTAACTCGTGAACTGGAGGGTAGCATAAGTCCCCAGGCATGGATGTCGCTGACACCGGCTGTGTGGGAGTTGAGCTCCGCTTGAATTTCTCCGGCCATAGGCAGGAGGGTCTCTGCATGTTGTAGCATCCAGGCGAGTCCAGCAAATCCTGGGGGATATAGAATCTCACAGAATCTCACAGAATCTCACAGAATCTCAGTGGAAGAAATGGATAGAAAATGTGGAGCCAAGGCCTGGTGTCACCTGACTGAACAGCTCTGATCACCCCACTTCCCAGGTCCCGGGTCCTGGAACATCTCAAATATTCCCTGTCAGCACAAGATGACTCAGATTGACTCAGCATCGTTCATCGCTCGGCATGGATCATAGCAATTCAGCTGGAAGGCGATTGAATGAATCCATGCATCTCTACTCATCACTGAAGCATTGTGATATCTTATGGTCATGTGACTATCATCTTGGTCGTGTCATTGAGTGGAGGAAACATGATGAATCATGAAGAATCCAATGAATCAAGAGATGAATCCAGAGAATCCACCCCCGCAGCTCCCGGCCTTCGGCTTGGGTTTGCTTCAAAAACCTCTCGCATCAGAGAGGTTTCTTCCAAGCCATCCACTCCCGTGGCGCAAAAGCGCCAGGTCGTCATGGCCGCCTGCAAGGTCTCTTTGTCGTGACCTTCTTCTATTTCGGCCAGATCGACCCAGGGGCACTTGGTGAATTTGGGTCTGTTGTGCAGGATCGGCTCAAGCTTCTCCACCTCGCCGAAACGGACCTGCTTATTTCCTGCAAGTTTGCGCCTGATGGCTTCCAGGATGTTCCGGCGCATCGGCGTCAATCGAATTTTCAGGTCTTCAAACAGGAACTTGTCCGTCACTTTCCGCAAGCCGCCATTCTGCACAACCTCCGGAATGGCAGACACAAACTTGGTGCCCAGGTTCTCCCTCTGAGCCCACTCTGTGAGCTCCTCCACACTGTACTCCTGCAGTTCGGGGACCGGACAGCGAGATGTGAACCTCGCTTGCGTTGCCCATGGTGCTTTCACATTTTACAATGTTTTATCCATCTCACTTGGGTTGCGCATTGTTGTCGACGTTTTCTGTATTGTAATTTCATGTAATTTCAATGTGCTGTATAGTACTATACATATGTGCGTATGTATATGTATTAAACTGTTTGCTATGCATATTATATGTATATATATATACATGCATTACATATATGTATATTTTAATTCATATCTTACATACTATATTATATATATATATATATATCATATATATATTGTATATTCGATAGTCTATATTCTACATTATGTATTGAATATTCTATCATATATATGTTACAATCATATCGTATATATTGTATACTGTATACTGTATATTGTATATTGTATATTGCTTTTCTTTACGTATTATATATTATACAATATACATTGTACATCCTACATTATAGACTGTATACTATTTACTACATGCTCTGCACTATATACTATGTACTGTATGTACTATATACGGTATGTACTATATACTGTAGATATATACTATAGATATAAAATGTAGATATGTACTGTAGATATGTACTATAGGTATATACTATAGATATATACTATAGCTATATATACTATAGCTATATATACTATAGCTATATATACTTTAGGTATATATATATATACTATATATACTATATATACACTATATACACTATATATACTATATATGCTATATATACTATATATACTATATATACTATATATACTATATATACTATATATAATATATATATACTTTATATACAGTACTATATATACTATATATACTATATATATTATATATACTTTCAATATACATATGTATCTAATATATATATATATATATATACTATATGTATACTATATATATACTACAAATATATATATATATTTGTATGTATATGCTATAGATATATATATACTATAGATATTTATATACATAAATACTATAGTATATTACTATATCTATATAGTAGTATTTTGTATATTCCATAGATAGTTACATATACTATATATATATACTATAAATATGTAAATATATATATATATACTATTGGTATATTTATTTACATACTATAGATATGTACTATAGATATATGCTTTAGATATAAAATAGATATTTAAATATATATGTATACTATAGGTGTATACTATAGATACATACTATAGATGTATACTATATATATGTATACTATAGATGTTTACTATATATAGATGTTTACTATATATAGATGTATACTATAGATGTATACTATAGATGTATACTATAGATGTATACTATATACTTTATATATATATAGATGTATATATAATAAAATTGTACGTTTTTCTTAGTTTATCTAACTCACCTTGATCTTTACACGTAAGGGAGGAAAGTAGAGGGAAAGAAAACCTCGGGGGACAGCAATCATCACAATTCGAAGCCGTGCAGAAGAGCCCCAAATACTCCACAGGTCCCAATGCTGCAAGGTAAGGTTGAAAAGGTACTAGACTGTGGAAAGAATGGAAAAAGTGGGAAAGGAAGTATATATAATAGTAGGTACATATGCAATGACAGAGTCTCACAATGCTCCCCCAAAAGCCACTCTCTCAAACGGCGCAGCTCGTCCTCTGCACCCTCAGGCCCAATATCCTATGGCTTCGACAGGATCAAGTTACATCAAGTCCAAGTGATGTCACCTGTCCTCTTGATTCATCTGTCCCTACGTTCGACCGCAAGTCCTCGAAGGAATCATCCAATTGTGTGCGCCCTGACAGCAATTCCGCGAAAAGATCCTGTTGTCTGCATGACAGGAAAAGAAATGCAAGACTGCAAGACAATGCGAGACATCCCAAACCCGGATGCTGCGAGACTACATCATCCTTTGTGCAATGACAGGTTTGAAAAGACCCGCGCAATCACATGGGTCACGGTGCACCCTCCAACATGTGGCTGTCTCAAACTGTGCGGCTCGTCCTCTGGTTGGTGCTCGGTAGAGGAAGTAGAAGGCAAAAGGTCCTATGGGTGCGATAGGTTAAACATCCTATGGGTTCAACAGGAATGAGCCCAAGCCATTTCACCTCATTGTTTTTTCCTGCCTACAGCCTGTCGGAAAAAATAAATCAGAACAAGACACTATTACTTTTAATGTATTATATATATATATACACACATAACTTCATATATGGAATGTATTATGTATACATATATATATGTGTGTGTGTAAGATACGACAATCTGTAGTTGCGAAAAGATCCATCTGCATGCTAGTTTCTGGGATGGCTTCCTGCTCATGTCAAGACCCTATTTGACCCTGTGGTTTGGGGGTTTTCTGCCACATATATCCACGTATGCCATGTGTGTTTTGATAGATTGAACATGATTGAACAATGTCTGTCTCCAACTCATTCGTAGACCCCACCGCCTTCGCTTCACAAGTCGAAGCTTCAGAGCTGAAAGGGCTCTCCAACTCCTAGCAGCACCAGTTGAGACAGATCTTGCAATCCTGATTTCTGACTTTGCTGACTTTTCTGCGCTCTTGCCTCAAGTCTCAAATCTCAACTCATCAAGCTCCCACCTTGTCAGCTTCCATGGCTGCTGCGGTCATTGGAAGTCCGATAGTCACAACCAGGAAAACAGGATGTGCCATGAAAACCCATTGCATCATGTCTATATAGTGCGTCTGATTTTTGGCGCCAATGATTCATGCAGTGTGCAAGGATGCCGCCTCTTGAGCCAGTGGATACTGCAGGTCGGCTCAGCTGGACAAAACACACAGCACAAGAAGAGCTATGTCATCTTGCAAGGTTGGCGATTAGCCTTGCAGCCCTCGCATTGACATGTAAGGCAGTCTCTCAAAATATTTTCAGACCCAAACACTGCAAGTTTATTAAGCGACTCTATGGTTCAACCTGGTAGTCAGCTCCTTGGCATGTGCTTTCAACACTCCAAACAGCAAGAACCTTGCCTCGCGCTCTCGCTCGCGCCCCACATGCACTTCAACTTCCTTCTCCTTTTCCTGCTGTTTTTCTTGCTCCCTTTCCTTGCAAATGCAGTGGAAAATAGCATGAAACTACCCTGTACCACTACTAGCTTGCGATCTTGAACCCGCATTGAAGCGTGATAAGACTGCAGGCCCTGCCTGCTGCCGGGTGATCTCTGCACCGAGGTCACCTGGCACGTGTGTCATGGCAAATGGCGAAGAGGCCTGGGAAGTTCTGGAAATGTAAGCGCAAAATTGTTGTTTCACTCAACACACCTATGCACATCTCAACTATTCCATA